AGCCTCACAGCTCTTGGGCCAGACTTCTCCCTAAGCCAGACCTGGGATTCCTCAAGGCTATTCCTTCCTGTGCTTCTGGCTTCTGCAACCCACTAAAGTCTAGGTGCTACCTTAGCAGAGCAGTAATTTAGGCAGTTATCAATTTTCAAAGGTTCCAGTGATGGGCATTGGCAAAAATAAGAATAAAAGGATCAGTAATTTGTGCTTATACTGCTTCATACAGTCACTCAGTCTCACTTCCACCTTAACGCAGTTTAGGAAAGGGAAACATAACTAAATATTTATAATTCTAGGGATGTGTAACTTTTTTTAAAAACAACATATTTGGAAAAAATATTTACAGATTTACCTTTCACAATGTTTTTCAATATTTGTCTTTCTAATGGTGTACCATTTCTGTTTCTATTTGTATATATATTTTCCCTGACATACAAATGGATTAAAAAAACAGGTGAAAGAAATGATTAGTCTTACATTTACATTCATTGCTGTATTTTATATTCATTAAACTGTACTTCTTACCTAATTACTTCTCTGCTTCAGAAGTTTTAGGATTCTGTTGCACCATGCAGATATTGGTTACTTCTGACTTTCATCACTTTTACAAAATAAATTATGAAAACAGAGGCTGTGTGTGTTGACTGCACTTTTCTGTGACCCCTCTACAAGCTCTGTACTTGTCCTATTCCCTTAAAGGCAATGAAACAGCAGAGGTATGGTTATCCAATGTCCAGCTAAAACTGGAGTGGTCTGCAAGGAGACCTGTGGTGCAATTATTATATGGTAATTCAGTCTCCTCCAGGTTCATACACCCAATAAGGAATTATTGTGTTACCTATGACAATAATTACAGACATGAAATATTCAAGGAGACAAAGATACAGACATCAAATATCAGTTATGTGAAGAAAAACAAAGTGCTGTTAGAAAAGCCTAAGAGTGAACGTCATTAAATGTTATGTGAGACTACATTTACTGGACATCTTCTACCTAAGCCTTCAGTGGGAAATAAACTACCTATATGTTATAATTTTCTTAATTTAAATAACATTAAGGGTATTTTAGACACAATTTGAATAAAGGTTTTTTGTTGACCTAAAACTTATATTTCATCATTCCTAAATGTTTAGGATGTGTAGGATATGGATGTGGGCTGAAAAGAGGTATGTGTAACACACCAAATGTCTCTATGATGGAAGAAAGTCACAGAACCACAAACATTTGAACATCAGTCACGATGGCAACAGTTGGATCATTTCTATAATGCCCAATCAAAGCAAAATCATTAAGCACCAGTACTATTTCAAATAGGATGCCAATATATTTTTCTGTCAGTCTTACCTGTATTATCTTCAAATGTATGAATTCTAATTAAATACAAATCATCAGCCAACCCAGGCAGCATATCCCTTTCACTGTCTTTGCTCATACCATGACAACCTATGAACTTTTTTATAAGAAAACTAAATAGGTGTTTCGTAAGATATATAACTGAAATGCATCATTTTTTAAAATCCCATTCCTTTAGAAAAATCTATTTAAAAGACAGCTGTGAGACCCAATATGTAAAATCAGTTGTCTGAAGATCACATGGATATAGCATTCCTACAGATGTAATATACATTGGTGAATATTTATGTTCTCTGCAAAGAGCACCATGTTTCTTTTGGTGCCAAATGAAGTTGCTCCAACTCCCTGCTCATCTACTACCCCACCTCAGGTGATGGAGCACTTCTCTCTATGGGATGGTGCAGTGGATCAGACTTCAAAATTGACCCAGGTTGAAAGGATATTTCTGGCTTTGCCCACCAGAGCCCAAAAAACACAATTAAAAAGTAATTGCTACTGAATTGTTGATACTTCCTTGAATTTGCAGGACATAACATCAGGTTGGACATTTTAGGTTAGAGAGAAAAGATGACTCAGGTAGTCATTCTGACGACAGCAAGAGCCTGGTTTTCAAATTTATGTAAATTATGACAATCATAAAGAATCCTGACCTGTGTGGCCATCTTATGGATTGCTTCTGGTCTTAGCATTCGAAATTAAATTGGTTCATATCAGGGATTGATACCAATTTAAAGAGAACTGTTTTAGTTCAAGTGAGTGCTTTTGTGGCAAAGGCCATTCTGGCTTCAGGTAACAAACACAGTACCCTAAACATGAACGCAACACTTGCTCTTCATTCCCTTCCTCTTCCAGCCCACCAACTTCAGCAAGCTGTATTAAGAGCCAAAGCTGGTTAGTCATCTTTGTATCACCAAGATCTAAATCCCTCTGGCAGCTCACTCGTTCCTCTAATACACTTCATTAAATTATCAGAGAGAAGAGGTATAAATAGTAGTAAATTCTTAGTTAAACACTTCAAAGCTGCTTATGACTTGAAAACTACTAAAAAACAACTGATCCAAATTCACGCTTTAAGAGTTCATGGAAATTCTCAGCTTGTTTATAAGGAACTCACTCCACTGGTTTCCGTTATTTAACACACCCATTCGAAATTTCTTCCTGTTTGCAATAAGACTTCTACCTTCAAAAACATTTTTGAGGTGCTAGAAGTATCCCAAGCTACTTTTGGCTTTTTGGTTATACTAGTCAAAGCTGGAATTTCTTCCAAAGATTTCAGCAGAGTAATTCTCAGTAGTTTTGTGTTTGACTGTTCATTTAATTATCTTAACATTCTAACAAATATATGCTAACATATCGGTTTGTCAGGATACACGTCTGGAACAAAGACAAGCACAACAGTCATTCCAACACTACACAAAAATCTCTTACTGCAGTGAGAGTAAAAAACTACTAGCAAAGAGAATCAAAAGCTAAAATAAAATACAAAAACACTATCTGTTGGAGTTCATACAATACTGTGAATAGCCTCTATTACAGTATTACCTAGTAAAAAGGGAATTGCCTTCTCGGTTGCTTCCTATCAATAAACTGTGCTTACCTATGCAGACAGGCCAGGGCTACCAGGGTCTGCAGCAGCTGGTCAGTACTCATGCTTAGCAGGTGTCCCTGTGGAGTAACACAGTGTCGATGAAAGGATGAGTTATCGCTCAGCCCAGCCATCCCGACACCCCATTTTATCAGCTCTACATTACACTATGTAGGGCCAGTACATAGCATGAGGTGATGCTTGAGTGGCCACCAAACACCACCTATTGATTACCGAATAGCAACACTCTGTGCATGCCCTACTGTAGGGCAAGGGGATGAATGACCCCTGCCCACATAATCTTCCTCTCACAATCATCTTTCTCACCCCTATGTACAACCTCTACCATTGTGTTTCAAGGGTATTTGCATCCATCTTGCAGAATGGAGCCAACCCAAGGAGGAACTCAGCTGTGACAGTAGGGGACATCTAGTTAATTTTGCTGAAGACACCATGGACCTCACAGTTAACTTGTGCAAAAAAGTTACATTGTACAATACTCTGGCTGGTTTCACATCTTAATATAATTACTTTCTCACCCCTCTATGCTTCATTGATCATCTAAATCAAAAGTACCCCCGTTACAGCTAAATTGACCAGAGATTTTCTAGTAAAGCATAACTTTTTATAAATGAGCATAACAATAGTGTACCTAGCGGGTGATGTGTCAAACCAGAAGGTTATTAATCATGGGAAGAGAAACTCCTATTTAAAACCCTGAATAGACACATAAAATATATGCAACAAACAAAAGGAGGGAAACAGAACTCAAAACAGGAAGGGGGTGTTGTTCAACATTTCAGCAAAGGAAATGTAGGATGAAAACCAAAAACTTGCTCAAGCAATAGGGACATTGAAGATTCTGTATTATTTCCACTACATTGTGATTTTGATAGCTGTGCTAGGTAACTTCTGTGAAGCAAATTAATGAACTAAATGCTTAAAGGCAAAAACCTTTGCAAGTAAATATGATTCATCTTTTATGAAGTCAGAGATAAGAGTTATTTGACTTCTCTTAAACACAGGAAATCGATACCCAGTTTCTCTTCATGCCATGAATAAGACTGAGTGTTTGGCCTGCACGGACATATCACCAATCCTGACACACACATCCTCCAATTCTTCAATCACAATGAGTTATGTGAAATTAACTTAGGTTTTCCATGTTTATTTAGCTCACTGCTGAATAGTTTCTCACAGCAAAAAGAAAAAAAAAAGGGTAAATGGTAAACATGTTATGTAATTTCACAATATAAGTGGAGTGATGTGTAGACGTGATTTAAAATATACTGCAGTGTAATCCCTTCTTACACTACTTTGTAAAACACTAAGCAGCAGTAAGACATACGATGTTAAAACACCACGATTAACAAAGTTTATGGCTCATGCATTTATGGCATTTTAATATTCAACCCGGGCACACGGGCCCTGCGCACACGCCGTGCTCACACCTACGGCACCAGCCCGACATGACTCATGACATTCGCACGTATCCCATGGCAGCGAGCGGGGAAACGCGCACGTCCGTCCCCGTCGGCGATTTCTGACTTATTTATCCGGATAAACATAAAACACCATGTCATGTCATGTCATGTCATGTCATACTACGAACGAACGATGTAAGGGACGTGCTTCTACCAAGCTGAATTACAAATGAAGCCGCGGGCACCAGGGCGGCGGGGCGGCCCCCGCGTCCCTCAGCGCTCCGGTACCGCCCAGGGGACACCCGGGGGTTGCGCCGCGTCTCTTCCCTGGGTCGGGGGGGGCCCAGCCAACCGCCCTTATCGGCGGGGCCCGGCGGGCGGGCGGCACCGCCCCCGCTATCATCGCGCACCCCGCCCGCGGTGCGAGGAGCGCGGCGGCCCCGCGCCCGCCCGGGCCGTTACCGGCCGCCCCCGCCCGCGGCGCCGCGGGGCCGCCCCCCCTACCCCGCCCCGCTGCGCGGCGCGTCCCGCCCCGGCCGATGGGCGGCCCCGCGGCGGCGGTTGGTCAGCGCGGCGGCCGTTGCGCCCCGCGGCCGCTCCCGCGCACAGCCCCGCCCTCCCGCTGCGGCCGCTGGCGCTGGGAGGCCCCGCAGACGCCATTTCCTCGGCGCCCCCGCGGCGGCGCGGCTGCATCAGCGCTGACGTGAGGCCGACGCGCGGCTCCGCCCGGTCCCCGGTCCCCCCCACCCCCTGTGACGGGGGCAGCACGTACAGGGCGGCGGGTGAGTTGCGGGAGGGGGCGGGGACACGTGTGCGCGCAGCCCGACCCCCCGCGGGCCGGCAGCGGGGCAGCGCGGAGGGCAGCGGGCGGCGCCGGCGGCGCGGAGGGCAGGGGCGGGCGGGCACGGCGGGGCAGGGCAGGGCAAGGCAGGGCAGGCGGGGGGCGCTGTGCCGCGCTCGGCTCAGCCCCGCCGCCGGGAGCGCGCAGTGAGGCGGCCGAGCGCGGCCCCGCCGGCAGTCGGGAGCGCGCCGCGCTCAGGGCCGGCCGCGCAGAGCCCGCACGGCGGTGCCGGGCGGCCCCGAGGCGGCTCCGCGCACTGGGAATTCCAGAAGGGGCGCGCGGAGCGCCAGCTCCGTTACCGGCCGGGAGCCGCGCTGTCGCCGGGCTCTGACAGGGACGGCTCCGGCCCTTGCTCTGGGAGCGGCTCGGCTCGGCGGGAGGAGCGGGGGCAGTGCCGGCCCGCTGCGGGTGGAGCGCCCCGACGGCCGGTCCCGGGGCCTCGGCGGGGCTGCCCCGGCCGGGGCGGAGCGGGGGTACCCGGTGTCGTTTCCTCTTAACCCCGTACATCCCGTTACATCTTGGCCCGCAGGGCTTTCCGAGCTGGGTCAGCAGAACAGGCGGGGGGAGGATCACAGTGGGCTCCGTGACTCCGAGGTCTTGCCTTAAGTTTGAGGGGTTTGTCTGCATCCCCCACTGCAGTGGCAACATCATACGTGGTGCTGAGTGCTAAGTGATTCCAGAGGGACTGATGCTTGAATGGTTCTCTGGGTTATCCAGGGGGGCTAGTTGGACCCTTCTGAAGGGGGACCGTGTGTCCTCTTGCCAGCTGGCTCGGCACTGCCTGGTCTGGATGGCTGAGGTGACAGGTGCAGAGTGGACAGGTAGCATTGCTTGTGCGCACAAGAACGGCAAGTTGTGCATTTAAAATTTTTTTTAGGGTTTTGCTAGGGTGTTCAAGGAACAAAAGGATGGGGAAGAAAATAAGGAAACACAGAGCTTAGGAGACACAAGAAACGTAGTGATGAAGCTTCTGATGATACATACCTAAAACTGGAAGTTTACACTTGCAAAGTCTAGTCTGTTTTACCTGGCTGACCACTGCAACCACCTTGCCAGCTGGTGTGCTTCACACCATAGGGTAGTAAAACAGGTTATTACAGAGCTCGTACTTTAAAACACAATGCCTCTCTAAAACGAGTGCATTCTGAGTTTCCACACTCACTGGGGTCATCAATAAATGCAAAACAGGTGCTTGTAAATTCACATCCTTGCTTTCTTTTCCCCTGTGAATAAAAGCCTTCAAAGTGATTTGGAGCAAGGACTGAAACATTTCTCAGCCCCTTATGAGTTTCTTTGTAATAAACCTCCTTTTTAAGAACTCTCCGATGTATAAAGTATGGTTGAAATAAAAAAGTTGTTTTTTAAAGTGTCTCTGGGTATTTAATTAGACAGTCACACATTTTCAGATATGCAAAATATTGTACCAGTTTGCTTTTGCAGTTTAATTTTGTCAACAGAGTTTAAGTATTTGTATGAATATTCAGTGATGGAAAACAAACAACAGTACTGGAGGAAGTGAAGGGATCTTTTGTGCTCTTTATTACAGAAGATGATATTTTGATCCTTCATCTTTTACTTATGGACAAAGACGTAAAAAGTTCACACTTTTAGTTGTAAATTACTCCCAATTTTCTAGGAAACCTGGCAGTGTTTAACTGATTGTGTCTGCCAGATTTATCCTGCCAGGGATGTTTCAACTGATGGCAGTTGAAGAAGCTTATGATGTGCACTGTGTGCATCATCTTAGTGTTTATCTGCTGCTGACCTGCTGTACATTCATCTCAGTGAGTGTAATAAACATGTGCTTATATATTGAAACCTTACAAGCTTTGGTAATGGTGAAACTTTGTGCCAGATGCTGAAGATTTTCTTTGCTAAGTTGTATGAAGAAGCAGGTGTCTTTGCTTACATTATGGAATGGTTATTTTTGCCCCCTTTTTATGGGAGTGCAGAGGTATAACTTATTTATTAATTTAAAAATCCAGATGAATATTTAAAATTACTGTTCAGTGACTGTAAGCAACTAAGGTAGAAAACATAAGAAAATAATGTATTAATACTGAGTATAAGCCTAAAACTTGTATATAATTAAATCATACAGTGAAGAAAAAATACTTTTAAACAGGACCTAAGACCACATATGTAAAAACTGTTTACTTAGTTTTACTTTAAAATAGAAGGAAGGTAATGTGAACTTTAAAGCATGTCATGTACTACTACTGGTAGGCTTTTATAAAGGATTTTTGATGCTCGGCAGAAAATTCTGTTTTTCTCTCTTTGAAACTTAAAGCAATGCATATGTTAGAATTTGCTAGCAGTATAGACTGATTGAGTGTGATACATGTGGAAACTGTTTATGTCAGTAGTTTCTGGACTGGATTTATAACTGTTTTGTGACACAGTCTGTATTGCGTTTTAGAAAAAGGATAATTATGATAATGATCTTTCTTTTGTGTGTGTATTTCTTAAAAGTTTGATGTATTCATGTTAAAATTATATACAGGAAATACAAGCTCTCTTTAGTTCAGGTTATAGGAATCTGACCGTTTATGAGAGTGCTCCAAAGACAGTGACAGTCCAGACTGGACTGTGAAATTCAGGAGTTCCTTAGCATGCCTGGCCTTAAGTGTGCACAAGCCCACATGAGGTGACACAGCTCTGTGTGACTGACCCTGTGGACTCAAATGACTGCAACTGACTGACCTGCTCCTGCGAGTTTAGTGATCCCCTGAGCTTATGTCTTATCAAACATTGCTAATATTGTAACACATCTGAATTCGATGCTAATGTGCTTCGTTTTGTCTTTAGTTATCTTTCTCATTGAAGTTTTATGCCAAGATAACTAGTGTATCTTTTAAAATTAGTTGTGTACTTCATTATTCTTGTTTTGGTTTTTTTAGGCTATAGGTGGATCTTTATATTTGGATGTTGTTTCTAGTCAAGTCTCTGTTTACAAACAGAGGTTAACAAAAAGAGATGGGTGTGAGCTTATCTAGGAAGAGTATTTTGCTGTGTTCCCAGGTAACAGTAGCATTTTATGGCAGTCAGATTTTCAGACTTTACTCCACCTTGCTAAAGTTTTAAATTGAGCAATCATTTGTATTAAGAGTCAGCATATACACAATTATAGATGGAAAATCTATATAAATTCCAGAGTTTTTCATGTATATCATAAATCTTAGGTATATTTGTCACTTCACTGACATGTATAGTACTTGCTACTGTTTTTCTAATTAAACATAAATAATCTAAAATATATGTCTCTTTGTCTGTACCGTATTTTGCCAAGTACAAGGAATAACTTTGTTAGATTTTCTGCTGTACTGATGCTCTTTTGTAGCAATTTGCCAAATCAGTTACTGGAGCACTGCAGATGAAAAGACTTTGGAAGAAAAATCCTGATAAAGTAGTAAAAATAAATAAATTTTTATAGTGCTCTGCAATCAGTGAAATATGAAGCTAAAATTAGGAACTAAATCCTTTTTTTCCCCCTAGATGAAAAATGGCTTTTTCTAGGTAAAATTTCTATGAAATGCATTTAGTGGGAATAATAAGTACTTTTTTTTTTTCCCCTCCAACAGTTGGTTTTCTGTGACAGATGGCTCTGGATACAAAAATACTTAAGGGCCTTCATAAAGTGAATTAATTCTGACTTTATTCCCATGTTTAGGAAGAGATTACAATGAATATGTTGCCAGTACCTATGCGTTATTTAATCTTCCTTGGTGTGTGAGCTGTTATGAAGCTTATGGAGGCATTCTTACCATGAACCAGATAGAGCTTTCATGTTTAAGACTCCATGGATGACCCTAGTTTATGAAGAAAGAATTTTTTCTCTACTTTATTATTGTCATTATATTGCATGTATATATAAAGCCATTAAAAAAACTTTGGTGAATTTCAGTAGATCCTTAATTTGATTGTATCTAGAGAAAAAGGTAATTAGTGGTAACTAACAAGACAAAAATGTAGAAAGATTTTAGGTGTAAAATAGCTTCTTAAGGTTGTAATCTGAATTGATACTGGGGATAGGGTACAAAACTTATGTGGGCAGAAATACTAATGTTAACTCATAAAATGCTGAATTGTGTACAGCTTGGCTACCTCTAGCTGTAGGACTGTAAGTCTGGTCACTAGAATACTGCTGGAGGCGTATGAGCTCAAACTGTGCTCTGCATCATTTGACTGGATATCTTTTCATATTTTCATGCCTTTATTCTGTGACGAAAGGGTGACTTTCAAAGAAACCAATAAAATTTATTTTCAAAGATTGTGGAATGTTCTCTAAAATAGTGCCGCAAAAGGAGTTTGGTTTACATTTAATTTGATTCAGTGTAGTTACTTTTAACCTGTGGGACTAAATTCCAGAGTCTCAGAGTCAGGTGGGTAGCAGTTTTCCTTCCCTGCCTCTTCCATTTCTCAGTGTAAGACCTGAGAAGAAATGGAAGTAACTATCAACCAGTTGAAATAGTTGAACTTTGAGTTCAGACGGGCTTGCCATCCCCTAGTTACAGTAATGAAACCCAAGGAATTGATATTTGCTGCCTCTTAAATCCCTCATCTCTATCACGTCTTCCTTTTGCGGCCTCAATGGGTTGTGTAAGTAGGGTGTAGGTGGGAGCATGCCTGAGGGCCTGCCTGCCTCTGCCTGACCCTATCCTGTCTGTGTTCTGTTTGTAAACTGACCTGTTGCCATGGCAATGTTTGACATCACCTGTTCAATGTTGCACCTTCAGTGCAGGGTTTGGTAGGAGAGAAAGGGAGCCGAAGAGAACCAAGCTCTTGTTTTAAAATTCACACCTTCCGTTATGACTAAGTGTGCCAAGAAATATCGAAAAGGAATTGTCAGGTAATTGCATTTTTATATAGCAGATACATTTGGAAGCTTTCTATCTGGAGTTTAAACTCTTAGTTTAAACTGAGGGTCATCAAGTTACTTATTTTCCTATGAAACTTACCCTACTTTTAATCCTGCAAAATTAGAAGAATCATTGTGGGTCTTGAGCCATGAGTAGTTTACGGACAGTTCAAGTGTTGATCCCACCTGGGAATCGGCATCTTGGAAGGTTTGAGAGGAATGTAGCAGCACGTGGCTGCTGGGCAGCTCGAGCCATGTCCAGTGCGAGATGTGAGGCCCGAGAGATCTGCTGTGGAGCACTGCGCTCCCAACCCCACTGGCAACAGTGCATGGGACCCTGGGACTCCATGCTTGTCCCTCCCTGACAGCCATTTCCAGAACTGCCTCCCCTTGCAGCTTTCCAAAGTACTTATTTTAGAGCTCCTGGCTATATGAATTAATATTTTAATACAGGGGAATGGGAAGAAAGGACTTCAGTTAATCTCATTGTTTTGACAGAAATGTATTTATTTTTTACTAGTTGTCTGCTCCAAATATAAAATAGTTTGGAATTGCACTCCTCCATGTACTGCATTATTTAAATGTGTATGTATTTACTTTCAGACAGATGACCATGGAAATGGTTGAACAGGATGACAATGCAGTGGATTCTATGACAGAGAGAAATGCTGGTCACCTTCAGAATCAGCCAGGCCGAAGTCAGATTTCCTCAGGATCTGAGGTAAGCTGAAATGTGGGAAGATGAGAAGAATCAATAAAGTGATATTCAGACCTGCAGTGATTTTTAAATTATCAATTTGCATGGCATTCTCATGTTTTATAAGTCTTGCTATCAAATAGGAAAAATAGAGCAAAGGTATACTGGAAACTATGCCTGCAGTAGTTAACAAAGGACTAGTGTAACATCAGGTCTGTAAAAAGGTAATGCTTTCAGGAGACCAGCCTTTTCAAAGTAGAGTGGTAGAGATGTGGGTTTTTTCCATTCACTTTTACAAGATGATTGATTCTTACAGAGATGGGAAGAGGGTCTTAAAGAATTGAGGTGGCTGGAAGATCAAACATCTAAAACATGTATCTTGAAGATGTGATGAATAACAAATATGAAAACATTAATAAAACCAACTGTGATTCTCTTCTAGTTCCAGTTTTTGTACAGAACATATTTCATCTCATTGCAAGTACATTTTTAATGTATGCAATGGCAGTGCCTGGAGTTATAAAAACATACTTCACGTGTTCTGTATGGTTGCTTTATCTGGATTATTCTTTGGTAGTTAATGGATAAAAGATTATATAGTAACAATTCTCAAACATTAAAAATGTATACACATTAAAATATGAGACATTTGACACTTGAGAGAAATAAGTTTCTTGACCTTACTAAGATTTATAGCTTCAGAAAACTGTATGGACCACTTAAAAGGATTTTCAACCCCCCTTTGTGAAATAAAGGAAGTAATTTTAAAAAACATCTTACAGAACTTATTAATCTGTAAGATTTGATGCTGTGTGTGCGGTATGTTAGATACTTGATTTACATTATAGGTATATTTTAAAAACTGAAGGCAACTGGTCTTTTTCTCACATCTTCAGACACAAAGACTGCAAAATACTTATCAGCTTTTTTTTTTTGTTTTGATACATGCAGCATTGGAAATATTGTTTGCTGGGTTTTTCTTTTTTTCTTCTTTAAGAATAGAGCACGAAATCAAGAACTTTATTTGGGTTGTTCTGTTGATGTCATTCCCTTATTTCTTCTATCTTTAGTAGTTCAGTTCAAGTTTTGTGTTTTAACTTCATAGCATGATTTATGTGTAAAATTTATTGGCTTGTGTAATAGTGTCTGAAGAAGATACCTGTGAATTCTGTCACTTGGGATTTTTAATCTTGATCCAGAGACAAAGCTGTCACTAATGCTGTAGGAGAGCTTCTGCTGAGTCCCCAAGGAAAAGACTTTTTATGTTTGTGTGCCTTTAATGTTTGAGTACTGTGTGTGAAGGTGCTGCTGTATTGGGTATGGGCTTCATCTCTTTCAGTTAAAACTAATAACTCTGAAGTATTGATGAATCTCATTCAATTAGCACTAAACCAAAACACCTACTTGAGTTTGAAGGCTGAGGTTAACAGTCCAGAGTTGACATCTGGAGTCCCTTTTTTTGGTCAGATGGCTCAGAGGGCTGTCCTGGACCTGTCAGAGCTGCTTGGTGCACGTAGCTGGAGCTGTAGACATCCCTCTCGTGGGCTGTCCAGAAAAGTGTGTTGGTGCAGTTGTGCCACTCTGAAGAGAGCGGAGCTGAGAGGGCTCCAGGGGCAGGCCTGTCTCCTCAGTGGTGCCACAGGCTCCCAGGGCCTGCAGCCCTGACACCCCCTCAGTGCCCTGAGGCTGCTCTGCCTCAGCATTTATTTTGGTAAAACGGGCCTGGATGGAACACTTACCTTGTTGTGACATTCCTTTGGCTTAAGATGAGTAGGATTTTTTTAGTTTATGTTCCTACCTGGCTGGCTTGGAAGGTGAGGTGCTTTGCCGTGGTGAGAGTCAGGGGTGCGTGTTGAGGGGTTTGTGTGGGACATCCGACTGTTTTTGCTGGTGGTTCCAGATGGGAAACTTGGGGTATTTCTGAGGAATTTGTGTCTGTGCTGCTGGTCCAGTGTCTGTGTGTTTTGACTGTTAACAGAGGGGCACAGATCGTGTCACCCTCCTTGGCCTCTGGAGGAATGTGGTGAAGAGAAGACAGCCACTAAAAGTGACGGAAATGTACCTTGTGTCAACTTCCAACCATCTACCCTACTATTTTGTTATAAACATGGAGAAAAAGAGAAAAGAATGACTTGATTTTTACCAAGAGCTAAAATGCCTGGTCACTGAAGCTGAGGGCTCCTTTTCAGTTATCTTGGGGGCAGCACAGGAGACTGGGTGTGTTATTTTGGTTTTTTTAGCAAGATACATTTTTAACCTGGTTTTTTTTCAGTCAGAAGTAAAACATTTTAATACACTATCTTTTAATACCCAATTTGTAGTTTTCTGTGTATTACCAAAGAATTGTAGAAGGGTTGATGCTGGAAGGACCTTTTGGGATTATCTACACTAACCCCTCTGCACAAGCAGGGTCAGTGAGAGCAAATTACGAAGGACTGTGTCTACTTGGGTTTTAAATATCTCCAAGGATGGAGTCTCTAGAATCTCTCTGGGCATCTGTGCCAGCAGGTGACTGCTCTTCCAGTAAAAGGGTGGGTTTTTTCATGTCCAGATGGAATGTAATGGTTTTATTATGACTTTGGCCAGGGAATGACTAGCAAAATGCTGGGGATACAACTATGTAGGAAGTGGACTTTTTTGTTTGTTTGTTTTTTGGGTTTTTTGTTTGTTTGTGTTTTTTTTTTGGTTTTGTGTGTTTGTGTGGAGATGGGTTTTTTTGGTGTTTTGTTTGGTTTGGGATTTTGGTTGTTTGGGGTTTTTTTGTGTGTGCATGTTTGTTTTTCTCTCCCCTGGAGTTCAGGCTTTTTAAGGAAATATCTGCCATTTAGTTTTAAAAAGGTGGTCAATATTCCATAAGATGATCATCTCTAGAGGGCAGAGATTGTTTTGTGCTGAAGCATTTTTAATGTGTTCCATGTTGGGAGGCAGAGAAGACATTAAGAATGTCTGGGCTGGAGCACTGTGATGTGATGGGATAACCTCTGATGCTAACAAGGAGCTATTATACATTATTAGTAGGGAAAAGAGTGTTTGGGGGGTGTCCTAGATACTGCTATATACTGCTGCAATTTTTTGGTGATGAAAGTAAAATTACTTTTCTACAAAGGCAAAAATGAGTAAATTTGAAACTAGCAAAAATGAGGTACATTTTTGCATTCATTGAAGGGTTATTTTTTAAATAAAATTACTTAATGTAAAATAAGATTGCGTTTATAGTTTAATTTCTTGCATCCATCACTTTCAACCAGTTAATGAATTGACATAGTCTTTTGTGATGCAGCCACCAAAAGAAATATGTAAGAAAATATTAATTGATAAAAACTTTGGTGGTTTTCTTTAGAAGCTCTTGGAAGTGTACAGAGCATCTGTACAAAAGGTTGATGCTTTCAGGGAAGAGCAAAGATTCAAAATGGAAACTTTCTCAACCTGTTCTGAGATGGGCTCCATGGGTTGTCTCACATGCACAGATCTTCTGTTGATGCATAAAGATCTGTTATTAAAAGGAAGTTATTTTTTATTGGAATATTCTGATAGTGTTGATGATAGTCAAACTCATATCTTGGAACAGTTACATTCTGCAGTGGTATTCAGAGAGAAATTAGATATTCCTTTTGTAGGATTTCTAGAAGCCATACTGCATTCTGTGTTGCCCAGTGCTCAGGTACACTAAATATAAAAATGCAAGATTAATGTACTTAGGCCTTTTTCAGATTGGACAAAAATACTTTAAGTTGTGTCATGGTTTTTTTTTTTTTTAAGTCCTACATGTTGATGTTTTTTCTTTGATTCACTTTTTGTTAACTTTGTCGTGTTGTCTGTCAGTAGAGCTGTCTGCTGTCCTTGTCTGAGATACCATCTGTTGACCTCTTGGTGCTGGCCCTGAGTTAGACATACATGAAGATTTACAGTGTGCGAACTGCTGTCAGAGAGATCAGAGGGAGATTTTCAGAGCCTGGAGTGCATAGCCATTGCAAGCTGGGACTGCTCAGGTTTAGCACTTAAGGGGTGTTGTCCTTGTGGGCTCTCACCATCAAACTGTGTTATACCTTGCCCCCAATAGATTAAGCCCTGTAAGCCTTTGCCAGACTTTTAAAAAACTGACCCTAAAACCAGTCTTCAAAATGCAACTCCAGACCATTAGCAAAGTTGATGTTAGAGGATTATAAATGTGCAGCTTTGTCACCATTTTGTGCTTGCTTGAAGGGTATGCTGTCACCAAATGTCTGAAATCAGCCTAACACTGTTTTCCTTAAAAGTATGTACTTCTATTTTTGCGTCACCTTTGGAATTGATCAAAACTTCCCTGTCTCCAGCTTTTCCATGTAGAGGGTACTCATTGCATGAGCGTGGCAAGTCCATTGGTCTTCTGTTAGGTGAATCCAGGATAGGTTTGCCTTGACTTTTTCTTTTCCAAAATTTTCGCTTTACTTCTAGAGTCCTTGCAGTGTTTAGATTCTACAGCAGGGGCAGAAATCAGATGGACCCGTGTACTGCTTACTTCACATTGGCAAAGTTGAAGGTACAAAGGGTTGAAGGTGAATGTAACCTCTAGTTCTCAGTAGGGAAAAGTTATCTGACCTTGTGTGAGGGAATGTGTACATCCACAAAATAACTGTTCAGATGGACCCTGCATCTTGAAGTCAGATAAATGATAACCTCTTTCTCTGCAGGAGTTTATGCCTTGGTATGAAGGCAGTGTATGATCTTCTTTCTTGGCTACTTTTTTCTCTGTGGAAGAGGGAGCACTTATATTTCCAAACACATGAAGTATAGCACCAAACTGCTGTTATGGATTGCACGGTTTGTGTTTGTTGAAGCTGTTAGATTGACTGTTGCACGCCTAGGAGCACAGAATCCATAGAATGTGTTAAGCTTCCCCTCACCCTCTGCATTCCTGAGTTGCTTCTGCAGATTGTTTTCAGTCCCTGTGCCAGACAGCCCTTGAGGTAATGACAATAAAGATGGCATTGCTCATCACTGGTGTCACAAAGGAGTTTTTTTTACCAAGTCTGTTTCAGTCAGCATTTACGCATGATAGCGCCAAAAGGTTCTACTATTTCAGTTAACACCAGAATATTCCGTTTGAAAGCTGCAAAGGGAAATGTGGATTGAAATGTGTTTAATAATTTCTGATATTCAATAAAAGAGATGCAGAATATGACGTTTGGAAGTTTTGTAATATTGTTATCTCCCCTTTGCTCAATCCTGCCCCTCCTCATTTAATCTCTTATCTGAATTAATGGGAACAAAACAATTTCTCCTGTGGTATCCAAAACTTCAGTCCGAAAGAGATTAGCTGAGTGTGTGTTTTTTTTTTTTCTTTTTTTCTTGTCTGGTTATACTGAATAAGGAGCTTTTAAATTAATGTAGTTTCTTAATCCTGAGTACTGGATTATTTCCTGATCATGTGTGCCTAACTCATTGTGTACAAATAGAAGCTCTTAAACTGTTCACTTTGTACTGTTTTCTATGTGTTGAACTCAGAAAGTTCTTTCTGATACACAGAGTATTGTATCAAATTAGAACTCTTACAAAGATAGCAAAGTCAAAAGGTTTGGTGAAATTGCCTTTATAGTGTTTTGGAAGTTAGCATGCATTGTAAACATTTAGACTGCTCTGTGCTCTCTCCTTGAAGCTTGGGTTTAGGATGTCAACTGTGCCACAAAATAGATTATACTCTTCAGATCTGTGGGACTTTCTAGATCTCATTCTCAAATATGTATTTCTGATAAATTTCTCATAACATTAATATTTATTCTATAGATTGGGAAAAAGGTTTGTATGTCCTATTTATATATCATTTCATGCCATTTAAGGAATGATTGTTTCCATTTCAGGGTTAGAAATGCCCTTAATTGTTCTATTTCCTGATAAGCAGTTCAGGTTCCTGTAACACTGAACAACTGCATAGGGAATGTTGACAAGATCCTGTCTCTGTTTCCTAGAAACAGTGTTTCTTCAAGATAATTTGAACCACCATCAGGTCTTCTTGAGAGCAGTGCATCTTGATAGTAGTTAACATTTTTCACTTGCTTCAAGAAACGAATATTTCCCAGGCAAGCTATGGCTTATGGATCAGGAGTGAAAACTTCTTTCATATGTGGAATTAAAAACCCCTTCATTGTAAATAGAGAAAAAATACGAAACTTTCTTAATTTTTTTTTTTTTTTAATATTCAACATTCATCATGTTTGTCTTCTCACTGTCATCTCCTCACACATCACAGTCTACAACTTCCTCATGAGGGAAGAAGAGAGGCAGGCACTGATCTCTTCTCTGTGGTGACCAGTGACAGGTCCCAAGGGAGTGGCCTGAAGCTGTATCAGGGCAGGTTTAGGTTAGATATTAGAAAACGTTCTTCACCCAGAGGGTGTTTGGGCACTGGAACAGGCTTCCTGCAGAGGTGGCCACAGCGCCAAGCTTGTCTGAGTTAAAGAAGCGTTTGGACAGTGCTCTCAGGCACATGGTGTGACTCTTGGGGATGGTTCTGTGCAGGGCCATGAGTTGGACTCAGTGATCCTTGTGGGTTCCTTCCAACTAGACATGTTCTGTGATTCTGTGATCTCAGTTTTAGCTTTACTAATCCAGGTACCTTTTGGGGCTGAGAACAAAGCTAGGAAGGGAATAATACCAGAATTTTATATATGAGTCTGGGTTTATTGTTGAATGTGTGGAATATAGAAATAAGACTTTTCAATGCAGTTTACTTTAAAAAACACAGTATTTCTTTTTATCATATGGTTTGTTTTTCGTTCTCTTCCTTTTCTGAGTTTAGATGTTTTGTCACAGCATTTGAGATCAATTGATGTTGTTTTCCCTTTGCATCAGTATTTGTTTCTGTTAATAGACTTAACAGTAATAGCAAAAATATTGAACTGTTTCTTTTCCTGTAGTTGCTAAACTGTTTCTTAACCCATTCATCCTCAGCAGTGAGGCTTGAGAGCCAAAGGCTGGGAAAAGCTGTGTCCTCTAAAATGTCATCAGAAAAAGGAACCAGATTACTCCTAAACAGAACACTTCAGCTGTGCTAGGCTTAAAGAAGATTCAACTGTTCTTTATTTTTGTTGATGTTTTGGAGCCCTGATACACTCCAACTCTGTTTTTTTTGATATATAAATATATATATAAAAGAGTCCGTGAAGCTAAATCAATTTACAAGTCCTTGTCTTGGTTTATTTAACAGGGTGGTTTTTTGCTGTCTGAAAAAGTCTTATCTCTTGAGACATCCATCTGAAAAGTACAACTTCTTACCTAACAAAGCAAAACTGAAGCAGTTCTTTTTTTTTTTTTTTTTTCCTGACTAAGAACTTTCTGCTCTTTATGTTGTTGCAGCAACATACCACTTCAGTGAATATGCATGTTTTTTGTTACATTTCTTGAGGTTCTTCCTAACCTTCGTGGTAGCAACAGCAGATTTGGCATGTGTTGGCCTAGGGTTGGGTTTTTTTTTAATTGAAAAGAAAACAAGATGTCTTTGGAGGAAAAAAAAAAAAAAAGGAAGAAAGAGTTGCAGCTTGTTAGGGAACAGTTTTAAGCTTTCTGTAACCTTTGAAAAGGTACATGCCAAACTTTGACTAGTAAAACTTGTTAATTTTTGTGGGTGATAATTATACACATCTAAGTTACTTTAGATATGGCAACAAAATCAGTTTGTTTTAGTGTCACTTCTAAAAGCGTTTGCTGAAGTCTTAACACATGTTACTTAAACATGATGATTGTAATTTTTGCAGGTTTCTGTAGCTGCTTCAAGTGCTGGAAGAGGATCTCCAGCTGTAACTCTAGTGCAGTTGCCTTCTGGTCAAACTGTTCATGTCCAGGGTGTCATTCAAGCCACACAGCCCTCAGTCATTCAGTCACCACACATGCAAGCTGTTCAGGTTAGCTCTTTTATTGTTACATTTTCATGAATATTTGGTACTTCATAACTCTTTTCCCAATCCATCTTCAGTTTCTCTTCATTCCTACCAGTGCTGCAGGATTTACTCATATGGCGCAGGAAACAGCGGAGGGAAAGGTGGCAAACATCCAGCCACTAGCAGCTCTACAAGCATTGTGTAGCAATTCCTTAATGCTTCCTGTTTATCTTCTAAAAAACGGTGTCTTGGAACTCTGCACTTACGCAACAGCAAATTTCTGTGATAACGTGGCCTTACTCTGGTGTATCTTGCAGTTTTTCTGTTTTGTTAAATTCTGTGAACATCACGTTTCTAATGAGACTATGAAGTCATAAATTTTCAAATATCTCATATTTTATTTTTGCAAAGGGTCTGGATGTAATGAAACTACACATAGAGTCAAGTGGTTCCTTGTTTTCAGCAGGCCCTGTTAGAGCATCAGGTATTGCTTTTTGTGGATGTGGATATGTAGAGACCAAAAATACAGGCAGCGTCAAAATAAACATTTATGTGGCAAATGTTCACATTTCAAGTTGCTGGTATTAGAAAACAGGGGTCAATGCAAAATGTATAAGACTTTTCAGAGCTTTTAAGTAGTGAAAAAGACGAGAGAGAGAATGAATTTACAGTGTTTTGAACATACCTTGGTCTTCTATTGGTGTTTTCCTTGTAAGCTAGGAAGGTGTTTACTCTATTTTTGTTAAAATCTTTGGGAATTGATTGGGAAATGTCAACCTAATTGTTTTTTGCAAATAGAATTGATATCTCTGGTAACACTGATGATACACCTGTTATGTGGGAACTGTTTTACCTGTGATTATTGACAGCACATTGTTTTTCTTTAATATGTTGCAGTCTTCTTGAGAAGCTGTCTTCAATGTTAGAGACTTCTTAGTAACTTTGGTATGATTTATATTAGAGAAAAGGAATAAAACCTTGGCCAGATAATGAATATTTATTTTTGAGCAGTAGGTGTAGATGATGGAACCTTGTAAGCTTTTGAAATTCAAGATCACTATTGAAAGAGGTGCAGTAGATGTCAAGAGACTTTGTTTTGGTCAAACATGAAGTCAGATCAGAGTATTCAAAGTAATTACTGTTTTTTAAATTGGAATTCTTTCTAACTATAATTTACCAGAGTAACCTTTATTCCATAAGAATATTAGTAATTTTCACTTTCTGTCACTGCTTTTCTTCAAATCAGTCTCGTCAGGATATACATGCAAAGGTAGAGGACTTTCTTCAAAGCTTAGAATGAGCAACTTCTCAGGAATCTCTTGCCAACTTCTGCTGTGTTGTCTTAGGGGAGTGGAAGTCAACTATTTGTGGTATTGAGTGAACTCTGGCTGTCTTTTCTTTCCCAAAGGAGTAGAAAGAAGAAACTATTGTCCCAGTTAATACTGACTAGTTAGATCCAGGATTTTGCTTTGGTTTCGTTTGAACTGCTAATGGCAAATGGAATTACTCTGTAAGAAGGGCTTGAAGATGCTGTAAAAGACTCCATTACTGAGGGTGTTGAGTGCTGCTGTGTTCCTCTTCAGTGCTTTATCCTACCATCTGGCATTTCCTCCAGATCATTTGGCTTTAACTTGATATCTTTCCTCTGCCAGACAATGGGGAACTTGGGAAATTATATCACTTTAATAAAAAAAGTATACTGAAGGTTGATGCTGAAGCTTGTGTGACCTCTCCCTCAAACACCTGCAGCTCCCAACAGGAAGGTGTTCAAAATTTTTTCTCATAATGCTGCTGCTTTTTGGATGAAAAAAAGCTTATCTGTGTAACATTCCCTATTGTTTTGTTAATGTTGTTTTACTTGTAGGAAGATTTGAAGTTCAGATTGCTATTTGACTTATTGCTTGCTCACCCTGTAGTGTATTAGGTCTTGGCAGACTAATGTGAGTTTGAAGTTTTGTTCCAATGCAGATAAAGTTGAAGTAGGTAAGGTTGTAGTTTGAATGATGTCCAGGAAAAAAAAGACAATGGTTTCTGTTTGTTAACATCGTGGATATGGTTGCTTGCTCTTAGAATGCTCTGAAATGTTAGTTTCTCTCTTTGTCATGATGAAAATTAAAACTTCTGAAATTTCTTGCAGAAAATGTCCTCTTCCACATTAAAATTCTTAAATCATCTTGTGATTTCCTTACCTTCTTCCCGAAGTATGACTGTTCCAAACTTCTTCAGCAACCTTCACAAACTAGTGGGGGCTATCGATAACCCTTAGTCGAATGTGAAGCTTGAAAGGCAACTGAAGATCTTGTTTTCCTGCTGTTTGTGTATTACCCTCCGCTCCCTAGCAGAATGTAAATTCTATTCTGAGTTAGGATGCCCAAGCTCTTGGCTGTGCAATACTGTCTTAGTTTTGAAGGATCACTGAAGGCACACTGGGAGGGAAATGCCTTTCGGGACCCCTCTCTGCCTCTCAGCACTGGTCCATCCTGCAAAAGGAGGAATACAGACTTCTTGAAGCACCTGTATCTCCTCCAGTCAGCTCTGATGTCTGCTTTGGAGCTGTACATTTGTACACATGCAGAAGTACCTCTCACCTTCTAGGTGGCAGAGAGGCAGACACAGAGTGATCTGATGATGTTTGCTGTATATTACCCAGCAAAATGAGGCTGTGACAAATATTTTTACATGGAATTGGAATGTAATGAAAATAACAAGCGAAGAGACAAATCCTCAATTTTATTCTGCCGTAATCTGTAGTTCCTTCAAGGTGTAGTTCTGCAGGTTTGAGTTGAGGTGACCCAGGCCTATAAATTTCCAGAACCTTCCAGACAGTCATTTTCTGTTGAGGTCAAGCAGGTTTTCTTTCTAGCACTGAACACTGAAGCCTGGCAGATGCATTAATTCTAGAACTATTCCTTGACTTCCCTGAGCAGCTTCTGCTCCCTGGTCAAACACCTGAGCCATCTAATCACTTACATCATGTTTGCTCCGTGCTTAAGACAGTGCTTGGTCTGGAACTGCAGTCTGGTCTGTCTTTATGTGAAAATATTTTTTTATCACAGTGTTTCAGTTTGGAAATCTTAACACACCGATAGTTCTCAGTAGTTAAATGAATCCAAGAAAATGGTGTGTTTTCCTTGTTCAATAATGACTTTCAGTTCTGTGTAGTAATATAGTTGGTGGTCAAGAATGTGATTCAACCACAGACCTTTATGTTGTCTTGGGTAATTTTAAGAGAAGATGTGAGAATACTAATACTAAAGGTCTGACTAAATGAAACATTGTGGACTTGTCAGGTGTTTCTAAAACTCACACAACATTGCTAAGCATTGTGTTTGTATTTATGCATATGTGTTAGTGTAATAATTGTGTACATTTAAATAAAGTTATTTTCTAAATAGCTTTTTTGTGTGGAGAGGCTTTTATATTGTATACTATTGTATAAGGTACATTGGTGAAGTATTTTGTATTTTAAATGTTTAGCTTCACTTTAAAAGCTAAACAAATTGTATAAGATTTTTATATTGAAAGAAGTCTGTCTTCGGTACTTTTTGTAAGTGTCAGTCACAAAAAAAGTAACTTGGATTATTTTGATTTTTTCTTTTTCAATTGGAAGATGTCAACTAAGTGGCTATGTCTGTCTAACCTCATAATTTATTTACTTTGGAAAAAAAAAAGGCTGAAATCCCGTGTTAGTGATAAATAAGTGCACCAATTTCCTATATGCAAACACGGAAAGAATTTTTAAAAATAGTATTTTACTCTGTTGCTATCTTCTTTTTTTTTTTTTAATGAAGTTATGAATTTCAGGAACTTTGCTATTACAGGTAGCATCGATTGCAGATGAAGCTGCAGTATCAGAAGTGATAATTGATTCCCAAAAACGTAGGGAAATACTTTCAAGAAGGCCTTCATACCGGTAAGGACTCTTTATTTTGGTTTTGCTGGTCTTAAAGGCAGCTTATATATTACAGCAAAACTGTCTGATAAAAGCCAGTTATTTAGTTTTCTTATGGGTATGGATTTTCAAATACATAAAATCGCTTACATTCTTTTTTAGAAAAATTTTGAATGAACTCTCATCAGATGCTCCTGCAGTAGCGAAGATTGAAGAAGAGGAGAAGTCAGAAGATGAAGGAACGCCTTCTGGTATTTCTGCCACGGCCATGCCGACCAGCCTCTATCATACTAACACAGGGCAATACCGTATGTTTGCACGTGTACTATGTGATGTTGCAGAACATGCATAGCACAAATTTCTTTGTAAGAGTCTCATAATGAAATAGGGCTGTTGGATTTTGATGAAGAAGAATGAGAGCTTCTGTATTCCTAAATAACTTCAGTTATTATATTTAATTTTTCCTGACATGGTCATTGTAGACTTTCAGTCTGTTTCTTGTAATGTTTGTTAGTTGCTAAATTTAGTTCTTCTAGAGTTTCTGTGCGTTAAAACATGGAGGTGAAGCTCAGGTGAAATGAAAAACGTTGACACTTCTATATGAAAGTTCAGTGATTTAAATCATCGCAGTTTCAGATTCCTGTGATTTGCTATGTATTAATGCTATTATGTGAAATGACAATTAGGCTTTTTTTAATTGTAAGGTTGGAGTATGAAATTTTTTGTTAACTGCCAATTTTTGTTCTTAAATGAACTATGTCTCTGTCTCCAGCTGTCAGGTATGAACACTTAAACTGCAGAACTCACCTAAATTGTGATTTCCAACATTTGATACTTCATCCAAATGCAAGTTAAAAGTTAGATTCACAGTTCTGTTCTATTTTGGATATTTTTAGAGTTTAGATTTCTTAATCATAGTTTCCTCTAGGAAGCCAGAGTTGTACTTTGACTAACAATGTCTTGCAGGAGATGATTCTTAGTGGATTTTCATTTGAACACAGCCATAAAGCATAGGGATAGGGAAGTGTATAAATGAGTAACGAGATGCATAGTTTTTGCTTTCTTGTTCAATCAGACATTTATTTGTGAAAATTAAGCAACAGAGACCCAAATCAGCAATGTCCTTGAACAACAGAATCCACAGAGATTTAATGAAATCTCATTTCTCATAATTTAAACTTGGCTATAAGCCAAGCTTGGAAGATTTCTACGTTTTTGCTGCTTTTTCTTTGAGTAAGTTATAGTTGTAGCCTAAAACGTGTGCTGTGTATTTAAGGTTCTCATCATAATGAGGCATTGCTCCAGGATGCAGTGTCAGCCTTCATGGACTCTCTTGTTTCTGGCTCCAAAACTTTGCTTGGAGAGCTTTGTCTTCCTGGAAATGGTTTTTCTGACCCAATTTATTTGTTTATTAATTTGATTTTTTTTTAAATTCAGCTTTGTGAGTTAAAATGTCACCCATCTTTTGCTTCAGTGAAGTCTGTGTGTTTTAACTCTGTTTAGAAAAAATTGGTACCAAGTGGTAGCAAGGATAGTCATTTCCTTGTAGTAGAGCAGGTCTTAATTTGGAATTTTACTGTTGACTTCTAGTCCTTACATGTATAAAACACAGATCTGGAGCATTTCTGAGCTGTCCTGTTGGCTGCATGTGATCCTCAGGAACTGCTGTTAGCTAGAACCAGGAACTCTGTGTGGGAATGCAGCAACTTGTGTGTTGGTTTTAAACTGGGTATTATGCCGGTCACTACACATATGTACTTTATCTTTACATCTCCTGTCAATAGCTCTTTACTTCTGCCTATCATTATTATGCCTGAGCACTCCTCTCTTCCTGGCTCTCCTGTGCAGGCACCCAGCAGTTTATGCATTAAGCTTGTAAAGTGTCCATGGCAATGAAGAACTGGTCTTGCAGTGTCACTCTGGCCATCTGTAGTGTGCCCTGGTTGAAAAGAGATGTCATATGTTACTGCATTTACTGGTTCCTTATTTTTCTCTACTGTTCTCTCTATTCCTGCATTCAGGAAAGGCAGTTTAGTTGAAAAGATAATTCTGACTGTATGTTAGTGTCTGATGTCTGGGATGACTATTTTTGGAATAACTTGATAAGTAAATTTTTCTGGAAAACAAATGTATTTTTTTCTATTAGCAGCAGCGATGGCTGTTCTCCACTTTCTAGCAGCCAAAATGGTATGTTGCCATGGTTTCCAAATATCTGTTTCCTCAGAGCTTCTTGGCTTTGGCTTATGGAAGCAGACAGACTGATAGGCATGACCAGAGAAATTGTCTTTGCCAGTTACCTCCATCAACATATGTGTTATCTGTCTGAATGAGTGGTTTTGCACAAGGCACTGCCTTGTGTAGGAGCTTTGTATCCTCATTTGACTACGAACCTACTCGGTTGGCTGTAGTTCTGTCATGTTGGTTATTTCATACTGAAAAAAAATAGTTTCTTCCTCACCTGTGGTGGTGGTCTAATGTGCAAGAATTGTTTGTTCTGTTGGAATGTGTGAATCAACTTCCCCACCTCCCTGCCTACTTGTGCATATCATGATGATCTGCCTGAAAAGATGCAGGGGAAATGAAAACCATTAGTTCTTTTGCCATCTGTTTGGGTTGCTTGCTGTCTTAGGGAAGCGTTTTAACAATTGGAGAATTAAGAAATCTTTTGGGAAAGACCAACTTTAGTTCCTTTTCCTGTTTTGGGAGGGAGGGAAAGATCTGATTTTTTTTTTTTTCTGGTTTAGGGCAGTTTATTGTACTCAGAAAGTGGTATTAGTATTGTCTTCAGTCCTAGCTGGAAGATGCTACTTATACCCATCCACCTCCAGGGACTGTCCAGGAAAATCCTAGCTTTCTTCAGAGAAAGCTTTCAGTAGAAAGCTTTTGGTAGAGCTCCAGCACAACCACGTGTGTGCAGAGGTTGAGATCAGGCAGTGCTGATCAGACCAATGGTGCATGGGCAGTGTTTTGTTCTGGGAATATGGCAGGAATCAGTCCTGTAGGGGAGGCAATTACTAGAATTAATTCACTCTTGTTTAGAAAGTCCTAGATTGTGATCTGAATGCATAATTGTAGTACAGATGTGACATAATTGTTTACCCAGACTCACTGTGGAGCCAAGAGCTTTGTATCGTTCTGTGCTGATGTTTTACTGCTCAGGAAGCCAAACTGACTGGGTTGTATGTGGTATGATTCTGTGATGGTGTAGACATACCATTTTTGGTGCTAACCCTTGAGAGGCAGGATTTGGCTCTGTGTAACTTCTCTGAGAAATAGAGTTGACAAATCCTGCTGCTCTGATCCTGGACCTTGTGAAGAACACAGAATACAATGATTTATTTCTCTTCCTTCTCTCTTTGTCACCCTACCCCAAAATGGGGCACTTTCTGCTTTGGAGGTCAGACCAAAACATCATCTTGCTCTCTTCACCCTGCCACCCCCTTCCCCTGCTCCTTAATGCCTTATGGAGCCTGTGTGCAGTACATGTTAGTGTGCTCCTACATTGCAAGTTCCCCATTCCAAAGGTAGGACTGGAGGTCCATGCTGAACCCTGTTTCAGTATTACAGACAGGGCTCTGAACTTCATTCAGCATGAGAGGAATTCCATGTTTTGCCCTAAAAAAGCTAATTTAACTGCTGGAATTTGGCAATCTCAGTGCTCTTTGAAGTGTTTATATCTGAAGTTTCGCTTTCAAGATACTCTACTGTTGTTAAAACAGAACCACTGAAATCAGCTATCTCCAAAATTCACATAAATCCTGTATTCAGATAAGCAGAGCTGAACCTTCAAGAATGTCATCAAATACTGTGTATCTGACAGAGAATCCAGAGGAGCTGGACAAGCCTGAAGCTGACTTTAATCTCTACTTACATCTGATTTTCTTGGCATCTCAGATCACAAATACAATCACAATGTTTGTAGTTTAAATATCTTTTAGGGGAGAAAGGAGTTTGTTACTTCTTGGGAATTGGGTTCTCAGCTAAAAATTTCAGGATTGTTTTAATTAGCATAAGAGATTTGGCTGGTGGACCACTTGGTGGATAAGGAATTGACTGGATGGTCACACTTTGACTGAATAGAGGGGTGAACCCATGGAAATCCCATGAAGTCCAACAAGGCCATGTGCAGGGTCCTGTATGTGGGTTGGGGCAATCCTAAACGTGGATGCAAGCTGGGCAATGAGTGGACTGAGAGCAGCTTTGCCACGAAGGACTTGAATGTGCTGATGGATAAAAAACTGAGTATGAGCCAGCCGTGTGCACTTGTGGCCCAGAAAGCAAATCCTATCCTGGGCTGCATCAAAAGCAGCATGGCCAGCAGGTCAAGAGAGGTGATTCTGCCCCTTTGCTCTGGTGAGACCCCACCTGCATCCAGCCCTGGGGTGCCCAGCACAAGACAGACATGGTCCTGCTTGAGCAGATCCAGAGGAGCATGGAGATATCAGGGGCTGGAGGCCTTCCCTGTAAAGGCAGGCTGAGAGAGCTGGGGTTGTTTAGCCTGAAGAAGAGAAGGCTCTAGGGTGACCTGGCAGTGGCCTTCCAGTACTTAAAGAGGGCCTACAGGAAAGATGGGGAGGGACTTTTTGTCAGGGAGGGTGGTGACAGAATGAGAGGGCAACAGTTTTAAACAGAGACGATAGATTTAGATTAGATTACTCGGATAAAATCTTCACTGTGGGGGTGGTGAGACACCAGAACAGGTTACTCAGAGAAGCTGTGGATGTCCCACCCCTGTAAGTGTTCAAGGGGGTGTTCAAGGGTGTTCAAGTTGAATGGGGCTCTGAGCAACCTGTTCTAGTGGAAGGTGCTCCTGCCTATGGCAGGGGAGTTGGAACCAGATGATCTTGAAGGTCCCTTCTGACTCAAACCATTCTATGATATTTCTGTGTTTAAGAAAGGCAATGCTAATTTCAAAAGGAATATACAGTTAATAATGTCTCTAGGGAATTGCATTTTTTTCTAAATATTTGATTATGGCAAGGAATGCAATATGATTTTTTAATGGGGAAAGTATATTTGTGTTTTCTGTATTGCTGATTACATGGGTGAAAAAAAATCCCACTTTGTTCTGTTTCTCTTCTTACATAAATATTGGACTCTTTACAGCTTTGTACAAGTTGGATAAATATTGTTGGGCTAAACTTACTCTCACATTAAGGAAAGGATTGTGAATGTTGGAAGACTTGTTCTTCCTTTGTCCAGGTGTCCTGGGTTTTGTTTTGTGGGAGTCAATAAACATAGCTTTTATTTTTATTTTTTTTTAAATAACTTATACATTTGTGTTTTGAGCAACAATGATTCTATATAGCTAGGAGTTACTAATTTTTTTAATTATATTAACAGTATTCTAGGAGAGTTAATATTTCTGGAAATAAAATGTGTTGAACATGGATTTTTATCTGTTATACATATGGCATGTACTGCAAAACATGCTTTTTATTTGTGGAAATCAGTATTAACATTACCTAAGTTTTATTGTACACTTGATCTTTAAGCGAGGAGAGGACCATGATTCCTATCAGACAATGTTTATTTCAAAAAGGGAATTTTGCTTTTTAGCATATGTTATCTCTTCCTATTGCCTAACTTATCTTTTTCTTTTCTGTTTAGTTACTATATCTCAAGGTGGTACAATCCAGACAGTGACAAATTCAGGAGCTCCTCAGCCAGGTGCAACCATTGTGCAATATGCAGGACAGTCATCTGATGGCACACAACAGTTTTTTGTTCCTGGAAGCCAAGTTGTTGTCCAAGGTATATTTTATTAGTCCAATGCGTTATAATTTTTCTCATATTAAGCAATTTTTCTTAAAAGGTTTTTTATTGTGTTGACATTATTGCACTATTAAATAAAATACTTATGAATAGCAAGATGAAAGATAGTCTTAGGAGGGGACTCAAGTTCTGTGCTCAGTAAGGCAGCGACCACTTTTGGTTAAAAACAGGAAATAATATAAAATCACTCTCTACTTAGAATTCTCTTTGAATTCTCTTGTCCAGATTTTTGAGACCTATATTTAATTGGAGTACAGGTGCTGCTGCAGATTGAAGAGAGATGCTGAAAGTGTACCTCATTTAATGTATTAAACTAATTTGTTTTTTTCAGCAGTTCTGAAGTTCTTTGGATATGTTTAATATAGAGTGTTCTTGCAATATATGACTCTTGTCGTTATTAGAGGACAGATCCTTAACTGAAGCTAGTTTTCTCACTGAAGAGCACTTTGAAGGTCCTATAAAATGCACACATAAGCTGAACTGTGAATAGTGAGTTCTTGAGACTTACTGTAGTTTGTGCATGATGTTTTTCCTTCCGCTGTTCTCAGCCTTTTGGTAATGCTGGGGAAGTTGGAGAACCAAAGGTCTCTTAGATTCTTATCATTATCAGGGAAATTGGGTAATGCTGATGAAGACCTTTGAAAATGGCAAAGAGATTTCTCTGTGGAGTCACTAAATTAGTAGCTGTGGAGGATATAGGGAATTTTTAAAAATTTTTATTTTATTGACACAGAGAGGTAGGAAGGGAGGACTGTATGAATGCTCTCATAAGCCAAAACAGCTGTCTGAAATAAACTATGAGAAGAGTCAGAAAGGCTTTAAATATGTATTCATGAAGTGGATGAAGTCATCGAATAAGTGTTGGCACAGATATCTGAGGTAGTTGGTGAAGTCCAGGTTGAGGTGCTTTATTTTACCTGCTATGGATGTTTGACATAAGTTCTGTCTTTAAGTGGCTGTTTCTCTTCCTTTGCTGTAAAGGTAGCCAAGAGTGTTAATAAAAATAACTAAATAATTTATAATATAATAAATATAAAATATAAATTTAAAATTATAAATATAAAAAAATAATAAAAATATCTAAAATAGTGTAGATATCTGAATTTGTTGAGACAATGTGAAATAGTGATACAAAATTTGAGTTCTTCCATTGCCTCTGGTTAATTCTTTGCTGTAATGCATTTTCATCCCAAGACTTCTCAGAAGCGTTTCAGGGAAGTTTTAAGACTATCCTTAGCCAAATGTTAGTTTTTACGGTGCAGAGAGTACTGTTATAATATCCCTAAATGTTACTATGAATACATCCTTAGCAAAACCTTTAGACCAAATTTGGCTGTCCTACAAACAAATTTCCCACTCTGGCAGTACATGTTTTCTGAGTATTTTCTATGCATGTGCCTACACATCCCTTAAATGAGAGACTATAGTGTTTTATAGGTATTACTTTGATTGTTCAGAGCTTTGGGGTCAGGGCAGAGAGAGTAACTCCTCACCTGTTTCCAAAAACTTCCCAAGTCTGTGAGGAGTCACAGAATTTAAGGATTGTATCTGGCAGCATTTCAGTCCTTGGGAATTTCATTTGACCAACCTTCCTTTACAGGCTCCTTTACAGAGTAGTCCTCTGACAGGGCTGCTCAGTCTCAGTGATGGGTTTGACAAGATGGAATATCTTATGAAGTGTCTTTCCTGTGATGGAAACATTCAAGATGGATTCAGAGACACTTACTGAATACCTGCCATATCATGTTTCTGGCAGCTTCTAGATACTTTTAATGACATTGATTTGTTCTCTGTCCATGGTCAGAGAAGTTGACTTCCTGGAATCATCTCTTCCTTTGGCTCAAAGTCCAGTGCTTTAGGGAGGCTCCTAGCTGTTGACACAGAAGAAAAGTGCTACATAATGTATACAGGGAAGAGTACAAACCAAACAATAAGTGAGCATGACCTTGAATATGATGAGAAGATAAAAGGCTTGAACTTACTATACATGCTATTGATACTGGAAAATATTAAAAAAAATAAATCTTTAGTAAAAAAGAAGGGTATATAAAGAGTGTGAAAGCACCTGAGGATGTTTACAGTGATACAGCTGTATGTAGTCAACAAACCTGAGTTATTCAGGATGGAGTGAGACAATGGAATATAGAAGTGTCTGATATGTCCTTACTACAGGTCATCTTGCCTGTGCTAGAAAGTCTGTAAGAATATAGTTTATGAGTATTTGCCATTTATGTACACTTTGTAGTTGAATTGTTATATATTGTGATAGCACAGATTATAATAAAAAAAATTATTCTTAATATCTTTGCACTTATATATATGGTAATAATTTATAATGATTTTGGATAGGTAGCACATAATTTTTTTAATAATCATGGAAGTAAAGGAAATAAAAAAATATAACAAATATCAGTCCAGGAGCAGAAAATATCTGATTCAGAATCTTTGATAACATATGTATTGATTCTTTTTTCTAAAGTGTTTGTTGGTGAATCTCATGTAATAGTGGATCACATAAATCCTGTACTTGATATTTTCTGATAACCTGTGGTGGGAAAGAATATTAGGAGAAAAGGGCCAAAGGTGTTGATCCAGCTGAGTGACATTATGTTTGCTACAAGTTTACATTTGTAGGCAAAATAAGAGGCAGATCTAATGTCTGGACAGTTTCTTAATGCAGGTTAAGGGGTTTTTTTGCTAGCTGAAGAAGAAGAAAGTTTTTGATTATTAGTGAAAAATGAGTGTAGAAAAGTTGTAGAAAAAAATCATTCTGTTGGGATCTATGTGTATTTTCATTATATGGTCAGTGATACTTGAGATCTGTGGCTTGAATTTCTTGTGTGCTTCAGTTCTGATCTTCTGTTCATATGATCCTGAAGTGGTCCTGTAATCACAGAATGTTCCTTCTTTTGCATTGATTCTTCCACTGTTGCCATCCAGCTTAGTTTCACAGTTGATGAATTACCAGTCTGGGTTTGTTTATTACAGACAGGGACCTTAGAAATTCACCATGCCCTATGTGCAGACCAGTGCTCGGACTGTTGGTCTGAAACTTCTTTAAATTGATGTAAGTAAGGAGTAACTCTCTTAGAGCTGATTTTTTTTTTTAATTTATTTTTTAAAATTGAGTCAACCAGATCTCTTGGACATATTTTGAAAAGGGAGGGAAGGGGGAGAAGAGATAGCCGTTACCCACAGTTATTGTTCTGCCTGAAATTGCTAGCATTAGGTTGACTTACTTTGTTGGATCATTCTTTAATCTTTTCTGAAGCTTTTAACCGAAATTAAACGAGCGGGTTATTGGTTACCCCACAAAGAAAGGAGCTCTAGCCTTTCATTTACTGATTTGTTACAGCTTATTAGCTTTCCTGTCTCACATGTCTGACCAACAGAGTTCTCTGCCTTTTAGTGGAACTACTCCAATCAAAACAATTGCATGTCTGTCTGTTTAAAATGTCCTTATTTTCTATTCAATCATGGCTTTATCATTTCAAGTTATTCGTGAGTGCTACAGCAATGTTTTTAATTTCTGTCAGACAGTGCTGTGAATTTTCAGGCTGTACTTTACAGCCAGCCTTGTGGTGAGTGCTTTCTGTAACTTTATGAATAATTCAGGGGAAAAAGAACAAAGCTAGGATTATAGAAATATGGAAAAAGAAAAAAAACCAAAACAGGTTTACTGGAAAAGGAATTCTTTGGGCTGCAGTTTCAGTGAGCTGTGCCAGTGAGAGAGCATATTAATGACAGTGGTAAGCAAGTGAGGTCACTGTGATGTCAGTGCTCTTGCTTGTAATCCTGCACATGCTTGCTAGTTTGGAACAGTTCATGCTGAGCTGTGGCAGAGGAACAGGAGAACTCTGTGTGCAGAAGCTGATCATGGCTGTAACAGGAGATGAAACAGGTAAAAATTTTGTTTCCTTTTACATGGTATTTTTGTATGTCTAAGCAGATTTAGTTACTATTTGTGACATTTTCTTTTGAACCTGTTGCTCTTTCATCTCTCAAAACTCATACAAATAGCTTGTATCTAGTTCATGTAGGATTTCAGGGCAATTTTAATATTTTCAATTGGAAAAAAAAATCAACAAAAAATCAGTTAGTGCATGAGTTCTTGCAGAGATTAGTTCAGATAACTAATCTTTATTACTTGATGCAAAATTCTGCTGAAAAAAAGCCACCAGTCTTCTTTTACATTTTTCTTTATTGTGGAGATAGTCATATATGCTACTGTGTTTATAGTTGCTTTTTGTTTTGTAAAAATGACGCTGCTTTTTTGTTTGTTTGTTTAGCAATAAACACTACAGATTGGATAGCTGTAGGCTTAAGCCTAGCTGTAAAGAAAAAAAAGAAAAGGTGTACATTGTTTCAGCGATGTAAATAAACCCTATGCTCTCATGATGAAAAAATATGGATTGCAAATAAATTTGAGAGCAATAATTCTAAGTATTGTAACGCCTGCTTGTTTTCTCCTCCACTGTTAAGATGGTCTGTTCCTCAGCTAATTGAGTTCAAAAGGCTGACGTCATTAGATTTCCTGGAATCGTGTTGCAGTAGGGAACTGGAAAAGTTAAACTCCAAACAAGATACACATTGACGTCAGCTCCAAGTCATGCTGCGATTTAGTCAGTTCCTTTCTGCTTCGTCAATCGCCTCCGGCAGCTCGGGAGCTTTAACCACTTCGCAGCCGGCACAGGCTCCTACCGTGCTGCTGCTCGGTCTGGCGCACGTTGTTTGATTAACCCACAGATAAGTATCTTCCCAGTCGATGTTTTCAATGCTCAGAGGAGTAATGATTCGTGCCCTGTGTAGCCAGTTTAGTGGTGAAGTTAAAAACCCTTTGATAATCAAATCCTACCATTATGACTCACAGAAGGGGAGAATAGACATAAAAATACATCAGGGCTTTTTTTCTCCTGGATAGTCACTGAAAGAACTGGAGTGCAGGGATGCTTTCTTGTGTTCAGCAAGCTACTTTTTCCAATGAGGTGTTGCCTTCTTTGTTTTTTTTTTTTTTTTAATTGTCAGAGTTTAATTTACAAGGTCCTTTGTGCTTGTCTGGATGTGGTCTGGTTTTTGTTTCTTTGGTTTTTTTTTTTTAGTAGTTGTTTTTCGTCTGTTTCTCTTCCTGTTAATAATTTTCTTTTTGTAAGTCTCAACTGAAAGCTTCAGGTTTTTCAGTGACTTTTTACTCCCTTGCAATTTTAAGGAGCTGAAAAAAAAAACAACATCAAACTTGACCTGGGGCAGCGTGTTAGGGAACTGTACCAACTGAAGGTTTGTTGCTTTGTTAATAATCTCGGTCCTACCTAAGGTGCCTTAGGAATTACTTTAAACCTTTGTGAAGTTTCATTAGAAATGACCACAGAGGTTTGTCAGTCTGGATTAAGGTGTGTGGGATATTTGTCTCAGATGCCAAAATGTGTTCTTCTCTGTCATATAGACACATTACTAGATTTAAAATACTCTTGGTAAAAGAGTTTATTCCCCCTGCTTAAAGCCCATTTCATCTTTCCCAAGGTATTTTTCTGGGCAATGCAGTGACATTGTAACTTTTTGAGATACTATACAAAACACTTTGCAGTCATTAAAAGTACTGATTAATAGTGAAGTGTCATAAAGCACATATTGCTGCTCAACTAAAAGATATTCTGTCAATGCTATGCTTTTTTCTTTTTTTAAAAATAGTGGTGTCTGGGTTTGCAAGGTCTGTACCACCAGAATGGTTATCTATCTGTGTTACCATGCTGACAGGTTTATAAATGAGACAGCTGTTAGGCAAGGACAGCCACTACTGGGACCTGTTGTTACTTACAGTGGTGTTTGCTGATCCCAGCTGAGATAGGGAATCACTTCTGTTAAGCCTTGCTGCAGGTACATGATCACACAGAGTCCTCTTCACAAGAGCAGCAGTAAGTCCTGCTCACTGCCATCTGAGTGTAAATCTAACAAAGACAACAAAGGAGTTGGTCTTGCCAGGCTGAGGTGACCTGGGTTATGGGGCTTTCCCCATGACTTGGTCTACAAAATGGCTTGCTTGGATTTAGCTAAAGCAAACTAAGACAACATCTCTTTATGCCTAGTGATGAGGTGGAAAAAGGTAGTTCTTAACACAGAGTCTGTAAAATATATGTAATGTGGCCAGCATAAAGGTGAGCCTGAGGAGTTGCTATCATTCCATTTTTATAAATAGTGAGCTGAAATATTGTTCTGTTAACATGACTGTGGAGAATCCAAAGAAAGCCTTTAGTAATTCCTCTGTAGATGTACAAGACAACCAAGTCCTGTGTTCATGGTGGCTGTCTGTCAGTGCTCACAGGGCTGTTCTGAGCTGATTTCTCCCTCCCTCCCTCCATGGCCAGGGGATTATCCAGGTCAGTTCACTGGTCCAGTTCATCTTGTAATTCCACAAACACTTTTACCCGCAGGACGGAGAGCTGGGGGAGGTTGCAATGGGTTTAAGCTGATAATGATTTTAGGATGTGGCAGTGGAACTGTAGTCTAAATACAACTTCATCCTGCTTTTTTATTTAATTAGCGAAGCACCTGTGCTAATATAATAAGAATAATAGTATCTTCTTATTTAGTTTAGCTTTTTCCCCTCTGTAGTTGATGCTTCTTTATTTCTGTACCTGTCAGCCTCCCCACAATGTTTCTGTCTACATATTATTTTTCCAAGTTGTCCTAGTTTCAGCTGGGATACAGGTAATTTTCTTCCTAGTAGCTGGCACTGTGCTGTGTTTTGTATTTAGGATGAGAATGATGTTGAGAGCACACTGATATTTTAGTTGTTGCTGAGTAGTGCTTGTGCTCAGTCAAAAACTTTCCAGATTCTTATGCTTTGCCAGTGAGTAGGCTGGGGGTGCACAAGAAGCTAGGAGGGATCACAGCCAGGACAGATGACCCCAGCTAGCCAAAGGGTTTTTCCATAACATAAGGCATCATGCTTAGCACATAAACTGTAGGAAAAGCTGGCCAGGGACTGCTGCTTGGCAACAGTCAGGGTATCAGTGGGTGGTGAGCAATTGCTTTTCATTTGTATCACTTGTTTTTCTTGAGTTTTATTTCTCTTTCGTTTAGTTATTCTCCTTTACATTTATTATTGTTTTATTTCCATTATTAAATTGTTCCCATCTCAACCTATGAGTTTGCTTACCCCATCCCATCAGAGGGAGTGGTGGGTGGGGTGAGTGAGTGGTTGTGTGGTGCTTAGTTGCAGGATGGGGTTAAACCATGACACATAAGTTTTTCCATTATTTGACTATTGCTTTAAAGAATTAAAGTATAAATTAAGTGTAGCATAATAGCCTCTGAAACATCATTTTTTATATTCAGCTGTTTTAATGACAAAATTTGAAGTTCTGTTCTGTAAAAATATAAAGTATTTATGGAAAGAAGCAGGTAAGTACTTGCTTAGAATTTGAAGAGGGATGTATTTTTTGTTTGATTCTTTTTCCATGTCAGACAAGTTACAAGTGCTTAGAAGATTCACAGTGCTTTAAAGTTGAGGTACATCAAGTAGGAGCAAAGTACATCAGAAATACAAAAATGAGGTGAGACTATCAGAAAAGTATCAGTTTCAAGTAACATGTCAGATCAGCATTTATCTTGGGGAGAGCTCAAAACTGGTAGGCTCAGGAGGTGAATCTGAACTTTTGCCCTCTGACTTACTGTACAGCTACACCCCTTCCTGTGCAGCCACTGCCACCTCCTCTTGCTGATGCCACAGCATCCTATCTGTGGTCATCACGCTCCTGTCCTCATGAGTGCCTGTCTGTTCCTGTTCATTTCAGCAACAGCAGCTCTCACTGATTTTCCAATGGTTGCCAAACTGCTGCTGTAAGAGGAAGAGGGAATGTAAGGCTGGTACTGTGGCTATCACAAGGAAGGAGGACAAAGTTGCCTACTGAAGCAAGTTGGCTCCTGAAATTTGTCAGAGAACAGGGTAGCATATAAACCTCAGTGGCTGCAACAGCAGGGCCGTCTTTTTGTGGGATTGTGCAAACAGGAAATAAGTGTGGATGCTTAAACTGTTTCTCAAACAGCTTTCCCCATGTTGTTTGACGAGAGTCATGTGGAAGCTTTCACAGGATGGGGTAGTGGGGCCACATGCTAGAGAAACTTAGATACTTTACAGTGTGGAAATAAGCGCTACTAAGGTAAAAAATGTATTTGTGACATTACAGACCTGTGAAATATTCTATGGATCAGGCATCCCAGATAACTCATTGACAGAAATCTGTTATTTTCAGAGAGAAAACTTATGCATAGTTATTTTTTGCCATAAAGTTTCAAATATGTTTCTTTTATATAGCTGCCACTGGAGACATGCCAGCTTACCAGATTCGAACTCCCACTACTACCCTACCTCAGGGAGTGGTCATGGCAGCCTCACCTGGGACTTTGCATAGTCCTCAGCAAATGGCAGAAGAGGCAACACGCAAGAGAGAGCTGAGACTTTTGAAAAATAGGTAAGACTGTACAACAATTCATAATCAGGTTCAAAAAAAACCCCAAAACATTCTAATGAAATTTTGTTCTTAAGGTCACGAGCACTGCTTGTAATTGATGAAGGGAAGGCAGGAAATTCTTTGTCAGACATCCCACGTCCTTACAGCACAGAGTTTTGGCTGTTGACTCTGGAAAGCTAGAGTTGACCATATCCCCATGGATTTTTAGTTTGAAAATAGTATGGTAATGCAGAAATCAGTATCAGATCATTTCTGTGATGATCTGGAGTTGTACTTTTTATTGAATTTTAATTCCCCTCCTCCCCCACTTCTGACAGGAAAATGAACAAGATGGGCTTTTTCATTTTGAAACATCCCAGCAAAGAATTGGTTAGGAAAATATCTGAGGAACTCATTAGTAGCTGTCCATTAATAATGCTGTGAAGAGGACTTATTCTAGGATGGAATGATAATTATAGACTTTTCTAAATACTTGACTACAGGGATAAGTTACTTTGCAGTGCCCCTGTCATTTTGTGAGGCATATTGTGTGAGGTGGCTGTATATTTTTTAATTAGGTGGCATGAACTTGACTCAATGTTGTAAATATCAGTCTTTTTCTGTGCATTCTTCATGCTATTCTTAAGAGAGAGTCTGTCTTTTTTTAAGTGTGTGGCCATCTCTATCGTTGGCAGATTAATAGAAGAAATACTCTGCTGTGCAGATTTCTAATACGCTGACTAACCACTTGCCTTATGATTGAATTAATGGTATTGCTTTGCTCTCATGCCTGTCCTTTATTTTAAATTACTCATGAGAATCACTGCATTGTTGTGCTTCCTTTTGTTTCTCCTCTCTTCAATTTTAAAACTAGTGCCTATGCTATAGCTCATAACTTAACAAAACATTACTCTCATGGTTTGACAGTTTATCATGTTCCAAGGTGGTAAAGGAGTGGACTCCCAGTACTTCTAATATTTCTTCTGGAACTGAATGCTTGTTTAGTCACATGCTCTGAAAACATTACTCAAAGTGTGTAGCTTCAATATAACAGACTTCTGAGCAGAACTATGAGAATGGCTTCAGGCTATCATTTGCCACCAACAAAAAACACAGATACGTGTGAATGTGCTCAGATGGCCAGTTCTAAAATGCTAATAAATTGTATTTGTTTGGGCTTAAATTTTACTGTGTGTTGTTACATTAAGGCAAAAATTTAGAGCATGTTGTAAGCTTGGCATCTAGCTTTTTATCTGAAGAGAGTAGTGTTATGCTTGTGTTTTCTGAAAGTAAATTCTTTGGGTTTGGTTTTAAGATTTTGATGGCAGAAGACAATGCTCCCGATAAACACACAAAATGGAATGTGACTGGAAGAAGAAATGCTGCTTTCCATCCTAATGTTTAGTACAATTCAAGCCAATACATTATCATTTACTCACTATTTTTCTCAGTTCTTCTGTGTATTGGTTCCATCTTTGGATTTGGTGATGCTGAATTAGTTTCAAGTTCTGGTTGTTTTGAATTGTATTTTAACTATGTTATTGCTTTTGGCTGTTACCCTTTGTTCTGTTTGTGCAATCCAGCAGTTGGTGGTTGTTGTTGTTGTTGTGGAACCACAGGGATTGCAGGTAATTGCATTTATCCAGTCTTTGCCGTATTGTGGCTGTTCCTGTAGTCATTTGCCTTGTATTGGTTCCAGGGAAGCTGCCAGAGAATGTCGCAGAAAGAAGAAAGAATATGTCAAATGTCTTGAAAATCGTGTGGCTGTGCTTGAAAACCAAAACAAGACTCTCATTGAGGAACTCAAGGCCCTCAAAGATCTTTATTGTCATAAAGCAGAATAACTGTCTTTCATTTGGACCTCGTTTATTATGAACTTTAATCAAGGCATGAGAGGAAGCAATTCTACAGATTGCCATATGAACTTGAGAAAGAGACACTTGAGGCCCTTGTGGAACCCAGTTTTGCTTAGTGTTTTCAGACTGATTTGGGAGATGTTCCAAAATTTGGAATTCTGTCATAGTCTCCATACTCTGCTGAGCTTTCTAATGGCATGCAAATGGCTTTTTTGTTTGCACTTTTTACTTCTGCTTTTTGCAGGGAAGCTGCTAAAGAATGTCGACGTCGGAAGAAAGAATACATAAAATGTCTGGAGAGTCGTGTTGCAGTGCTAGAAGTTCAGAACAAGAAACTTATACAGGAGCTTGAAACCCTAAAAGACATTTGCTCTTCCAAAACAGATTAGTAAAAATATTTATTATACTGTGAACTAAGATATGTCCAGTTGCTTTATAAGACAATACATAGCCAATGTGAATTATGGCTTTCTCTTTGTGTCATTTATATTATATTCCAACTCCTAACATTCCTGAATGCTTTCCTGCTTTTTGTCAGTTCATAGCTCTAATTTCAGGTTTTTCATGCTCCTCCCTTCCGTCTCCCAAGGAGCCAAATGTTAAAAAATATAACAGAGTAAAAAATCACATAATTTCTAAGAGCTGTTTCTTTGCCATATATTTACATACTACTTTTTACATGTTACTGAGTGTCCTGCGCATAGAAAATATTTTACAATTGTTTTAGATGAATCATAAAGATGATGCATCCAGTAATATGAGAAAATCAAACCACCCAAGGTATCTCAGGAAAGAGTTTATAAAAGAATGTTATGATTATATGTATGTATACTAGCATACTAGTCTACAGATGATTTTATGGCATATTTTTATATTAGTTGCTTTGTGGAAAAAAAGTATTGTATTGCTGTCACTGAGTGCCATGGTTAAAGATAGTTTTTAATAGAACCATGTTGTTTAACCTGTGTAGTGTCTGATTTCCTTTAAACACCTGGTTGAGCTGCTTTAAAATCCATGAGTATCTGGAAGAGGACAAAGGAAAAAACCACACCTAAGCCCATGACATGATGCTAAGCATATTGTAAATACTTGTAAGAAGCTCTCTGTTATATGGCTGCTATCTAAATTCTCTGTAGTCTGCAGAACATTTGATTTATTACAGGTCTGTATATCAAAATTTAAATTTGCATCCTGAATACTTCACATTCTTGATTCTGTATACCTGTGGACAGTTGCCTGTAGCAAAGACTGATGGTGCAGTTTTTTCAGTTTCAACAAACTAGTGAGTGATGATAAAGGTGTCCTAAAGAAGGAAGCTTTCCAATAAACAGTAACTATTTGCTGATTCACTGGGTTCTTAAATAGCCCGTAGGTGAAAGCTGAGGATCTTTAAAATGAACCCATGTTTAAAGTAGATTACAGCTCTTGTAAATGCAGAATGTGCCACTTTCCATTGTGCTTTGAAAGAAAATAGTGCTTATGCAAAGTTGCTTCTGGGTATTTCTTTAATTCAGAAGTGATCTAATTGTTTGTTGGCCAGTACAGTCTGTGAGCAGAGTATTTGGGAGCTTTGCTGGAACTAATAGCACCATTGCCTTACTGATGTGGTAGGAAGAAAGGCTTGGTTCCTACTTAATTGGCTTTGCTGAGGGGAGTGTGTGTGTGTGGAGGGGAGGAGGGATGGAATCATAGTGAAGTCATTGAGACTTCTTAATTTAATTTACACTGAATTTGCATTTAACCCACTTCACTCTGACCCTGTTGGGGTGGGTTGGTTTGTGTATATCTTTTTTCTTTCTTTTTTCCCAAATTACTTGAAATACACAGGATAACTTTCTTGAATCTTTTGAAAGTCCTATTAGGTATGTAAGTTAGACAGTTTGTAAGAAGAAGTCTTCTCTCTCACTTCCTGCAGCCACATGAGTTGATTTAAGGAGGAAGCAAGCTGCCTTTTGGCCCCTAGGGCTCTGTTGCAGGTCTGGAACAAAAGTAAAGTAATGAAATATCTGCTTCACTGGAACAATTCCAGGTATGGGATATCCACAGCTTTGGTGGGCAACGTGTTCAATGCCTCACCACCCTCTGAGTAAAGAATTTGTTCCTGACATCTACTGTGAATCACTCCTCTTCTGGTTTAAATATCGTCCACCCTTGTCCTATCGTCTGCCTGTGTAAATAATTGCTTTCTTTCTCTTACATACGCCCTCTTTAAGTACTTAAAGGCCCCAGTGAGGTCTTCCTGGAGTCTTCTTTTCTCCAGGATGAAGAAACCCCCTATTTTCATAGAAGAGATGCTCCAGCCCTGTGATTATGTTCATGGCTCCCCTCCAGACCTGCTTTAACAGGTCCATGTCTTTCTAGTGCTGAGGACCCCAGAGCTGGATGCAGCACTCCAGGTAGGATCTCACAAGGACAGAGTAGAGGGGCAGAATCCCCTCCCTCCTTGCTGGCCATGCTGCTTTTGATGCAGCCTAGGATGGGATTGGCCTTCTGTGCAGCCATTGCACAGCACGTTGTTGGGTCATGACCAGGTTTTCATCCATGTCCTTCTCTGCAGCACCTCACACTTGGACTTGTTGGATGTCATGAGGTTCTCATGGGCCCACTCCTCAAGCTTGTCCAGGCTCCCCTGGATGAAAACCTGTCCTTGTGTTGTGTCAGCTGCACTGCTCAGCTTTGTGTCATCTGCAAATATGCTGAGGGAGCACTTGATCTCACTGTCCGTGTCACTGCTAAAGATACTAAAGAGCACTGGGGCCAAGGCAGAGTCCTGGGGGACACCACTCGTCACAGGCCTTGACCTGGGCATGGAGCCACTGACCACAACTGTCTGGCTGCGTCCATCCAGCCAATTCCTTATGCACAGAGTAGTCCACCCTATTTTTAAAACATTTGATTAATGTTTATTTTTTATTTAAATGATTACTTGTTGGGAGGGGGTGCTTTGTTAATAGTGGGAGCTAAACTCAAATGCTCTTGGTGTGTGGTCATTCTGGAAAATTCCATTTGCTCTGTTTATCTGCACCAGGGAGAGATATCATACTTCAGAAAAGCAACTGCGGAAAAGCTGGCTCATTTAGGCTAAAACTGAGAAAAAAAGAAAAGTTTTTATGATGTATTATTCTTTCATTCTCTCATTCTTTCATATCTCATTTCAATTCAGAATTAACAACACACATTTCTGTGTTTTAAAGTAAGGATGAGCAAATTTGTTGGTGACTAAGAACATTTAAGATCTACAGTTGGTAAATTAGAACCAAGATGTATATTTTGATGAAGGAAATAACTTATTTTAAAATGGGCAAAGGCAGGAGTGCACTAATGCCACGAATCTGCTGTAAGATGACTATTTAAAGCAATAAACCCTGAAAAGTTCTGAACTGGATTGAGAGATGTGCACTGAAAACTTTGAGATACTTACTTGAGATTAAATAAAGATTTGAAGGAAAAGTCTGTGTACTACTGGGGTTTGTCAGAGAAATAATACCAAAAAACTAAGGTTCCAAAATATTTCAGTTAGATGGCAATGCTGGAGACTGAGTCTCTGTTCAAGAGGCATGTCAGAGGTTTAAAGCAACAGATAGGATATATGCTAGCATTTACAAATTAGTTTAGATTTAGGAAAATAAATAATATAAAGTTTACCTTGAGTATATTTTTTTCTCTTTAAAGTGTCAGTTTAGCCCTCTCATGTTTTAGATCAGTTGTGGGACTCAATTTGTTCTACATCAGTGTCCTGAATGTTCCTGAATGTGTGTCAGTGCTGGAATCCAGAGTAGGTGCATGTGTGCTATGAACAGGAAGAGAATTCTTCTTTTGATTTATAGTTCATCCATCTTGCATTTATGCATAAAGTCCTGTGCTTGCTAGTGCTCCTTTCAAAGGGCAGAATAAGTGGAAATGGTTGGAACTAATTCATTGTTACTTCTTACTCTTCATGGAAGAAATCTGAAAATTGAAGCTTGACTGGGATCTGAATTCAATTGAACTACGCTTTTGGGTTCAGTATTCTTTCCAAAGAATTACCTGACCACAAGATCAAAACCTGCCTTCTGTTTTGTAGTGTGTGTGTTGTTAGTTTTAATGCCTTTTACACAATTTGATACTTTTTTACATTGTTAGCAACCTCTGGGAAAAACAGTAACTGAAGAGGTGTTCTCTCTTCATTCTCCTCTTTGATGGTTGTGTCACTCTGTCACTTGACAAGATTGGAAAGTACCTATTTCTCTAAGAAAAATCTAGCTCTGAACCTTGGATAACAACTTAATTTTCAGAGGAACCTGATTCCAGTTCAGATTTCTGAAACAGGATGCTTGATGTGGTGCAGGCAAAAGACCTTTTCAACACATTATTATTCTTAATAAAGAAACATTAAATGAATCCAAGTTAGTTTATTGCAAGAGAATTTGAGCAGTGCCTGAGCTTGGATTTGTCAGAATCAGGAATTTGTTGTCTTCATTTTCAAAAAAAAAAGGCCAAAATAACTTTTTTCTTTCTGTAAGAAAACTGAATTCCTATGGTACAAAACTCTTCTCTCTTGCTGAACCTCACAACTGTTTGCAAATTTCTTTATGACTGCTTGCTAGAGGATTGTCCTTTGAGGAAGTTGTACTCAAGACTGCATAGATTTTTAATTTTTTTTTAATTTCAAATAGATTTTCATGTAACTCAGTGAAAATGGTCTCTTGAAAAATGTGTTCTATCTTCTAGAGTTGTGGGTGATGAGAAATGTCATAGCTTCCTCTTAAGGTACAGCTTTGAGTCATAGCTGTTTCTTAAGCAGACTTGCAAAGAAAAATCTCTAGGTTATCCAGACATCTCTCTCTTAACTCCGTTAAACAGCCTCAGCTATTGTGACCTGGGAAAAAAGGGATTAAAATGAGCATATTGTGTGAATAGGTGTGGATTTAGTTTCTTTGGGGGATTTTTTGTTATTGTTATTTCCCTTAGATTTTGCTGTTTGCAAGAATAATTATTGTATCAATGCAGCCAAAAAATAAATCCAGTCCTAAGGATTGCAAGTTGTCTCCCATTTGCTTTTCCTTCTGTTCTTATCAAACATAATTGCTAAGCTGTACTGTTATCCTGCAGCCATCAGTGTAAAAGCTAAATTTAGTGTGATGTTTTTCTGAATGAAGTATCCCTTCAGAGAAAACAAAGGGGTCTGCTCAGCTTCTGGTTTGGATTGACTCATTTTGCCCACTTTTTTTTCTGTTTCATCCCCTTGGTGTTCAGTGCGTGGGTGTGTGCATGGCAAGACTGCAGTGAATGCTGAGCTGTTAAGCAGCTGACAGAAGTAACTGCCTTTTGGTTGTCAGCATTCATGTATAAAATATTGTTGTGTGGAGAGGGGGCTTAATTTGGTTGGAGATTTTTTTTGAGGCTCTTCTGGATGAGGGATAACAATGATTTCATTATTCCATGAAAGGCTGTGTTGGTTCTAGTATTTGCTTTAAAAACTGAAGAAAATGAGTTATTTAAGTTCTGGGGTAATTTCATAGCATCTTATTCAGGCAGGCAATGACAGTTAGCAAAAATCAGTTTCTTCTGTGTCTAATGAGTTTTTCTAATCTTTTTTTCTCAGGTTTCTGTTTTTTCCTACTTCTGAGTAAGAACTTCCTTCTTGCAACTGGCTTGTTTGATATAGTATGAAACAGAAGCTGTGTATATGAATGATCTTACAAAGGGAGAGAGTATGTGAGAGTTGAGTGCCCTATGTAGACTAAGGAAAAAAATAACTTCATTGTATTGTGTGTGACTTGAATGGAAAAAACAGTGAAGGAAGTGTATTTGTTATTGTTACTGCTGAGGTTTTTCCTCTCCCTTAATAGCCTATGCCAGTGGAATCGAGTGTGATTAACACATCTCATGAATGGAATTATAGCTATAAAAATGTCACAATTCAGAAATCTGGTTACCTAGCCAAGTCATTGCTTTTGTTTTGTGGCTTCGAAAATATGACTTCCAAACATCCTTGAATGAGGCTTCTAATGTTCTCACTTCCATGACTCTGCCCACCCCCTCCCCAGTGTGTTTGTGCTCACACCAGGTAAAAGCTGCTGCAGAGTTGTTTAACAAGCCCACTCAGGGCTATGGGATTTGCTTTTTCTAAAACAGTTCTCTTAAGATTATTTTTTTCCCCTCAGCAAGGTATTCATCACATTTCTAGCTTTCATTAGTTCTTACAGAAGTGAGAGAACTGCAAACCCATTTTGAAGTTTAATGCATACTGAGGTATTTTGCATGATGAAATTGATTCTGAAGAACTACATTCTCCCAAGATCCGGCTTGTGTGAACTAGAAGCTTTCTGAAGTCTGTCAGCTGCCATACAAATCAGAAAATGCTTAAATCCTTACATGCCTGCATCTTTAACAGAAGTTTTCAGTTATGTCAGAGATCCAGACATGCATCTTTCTTGACACAGGTGAGCAGCCCAAAATCTGTTGATATTTTTGAAGCAGACATTTGTCTGCTTTTCTCATTTGAGGCCTGGCCTAATTAGCTTTTCTGAAGTGTGTCTACTAGAAATGGGCCTGACATGAAATATAGCTAGAGAGAAACAGGAATAAAAGTCAGGATAGACTGAACAAAGTGTTTGAAAGCTGTACTGTTACAGAATAACACCAGCAGGCAGGTATTGTGAGTTTATTTGTGGGACTTCTTCTGTATTTTTTGTGCAAGAAGGCTGTTAGTCTATGCAGGGATCAGAGCTCTGCAGCATTGAGCACAGGATGAAAAGCGTTAACATTTCAAAATAGCTTCCAGTTTCTATTATATCTTGTGTAAATTGTCACCTATAGCTATCTCCCTAGTGCTAACAGACCTGTTCCATATGTTCTTTGTTCTTTTTCATAGATGATTTTCATTTTCTTGAAATACTAATCTTGTTTCCTGTAAAATGACAGTATCATGTCTCATGTCTGTGTCTGATTTCTTCTGGTATGTTTTGAACCTGATGGTTGACATCAATTAAAGTTGACGTGTCAGAGATCTCTCAGAAGTTCATGAAAATAGGTAGTTAGCAATGAGGGCATGGACTTACTAAAGGAAAAGTTGGAAAGTAAGCTTTGTTAAATATAAGAAAACTTACTGGGAATTCTCTCCTGTTAGATTCCAGAGAATTAATTTAATGATTGCAAGTGAACCATAGAAATCGAGGTTTTGTTACTTTTATTGCTGACAACTATTTGTATTTTTGGAGGATGTTCAGATTTCTATGGAATATACCATACTTGTTTAAAAGGACAGTGTACTTGTAAACAAAATGTATTTTATTAAAGAGCTTAAGTACCTTGCAGACCTAAGCTATTGGGTCTGATGTCGTTCTCTGCCTCTTCACCAAGCCAACAGTGGTTGATTAAAAGACAATGGCAGTGTCCTGATAATACACTTGCTGAATGCTCTTCCAGATTTAAAGTTACTGACAATTTTGCACTTTAGCTGGGTAAATTAGTTTAAAATAGACTGGTTTTGAAATTTACTATTTAAAAGAAAAATTATCCACTGCCTTTACTGTTGCATTGTAGTAGCTTTGAGTAAGTCTGGTAGTTCACTCTTAAATGTAAATGCTAGTCATTTCTGACCTTTTGGATGAAGTTTGAAGCAAAAAAGTGACTATTTTTTCCCAGCTGTTTTAGAGTGACACCTTGTGGAGTATAAATGTCTGCACTTCATATCAAAACTGATGAGGCAGCCAAAGGATATTCTACAAGTAGGAAATTTCTTGTATCCTGGGGGTGGGAATAAGAGGAGTGGGGTGTTCCGTGGCTATTGAGGACACAAACTAACTTCTTCAGTGGTTCCTGTGTTCATATGTAGTTAGAAATAAGTGATTTATAATTTGATAGACTTCTAAGAGGAAAAAAAATCGTATTGATAAATTTTCAATTTATAGTCTTCCTGACCAATAGTCACACTTAGTGAAAGTGGGAGTTATTTAAGTTTTATTTATAGATAATAATAATAATATGTTATCTAAATGTTATTACCAATGATATCTAAATGATATTACAAATACTGCTATTGAAGCACAGTAGTTATTAGTTCTAGATCACAAACATTAAATATAAATCTGAGTATCTTTTGAAACATAATGGTGTAAAGGGGAAATGAAATAATGCAGTTTTAATCCAGGCATTCAGAAATATCATTCTGCAAATAGAAGAGGGAGGTAAAAACAGGGAATGCAGAACACAGGAAACGATAAAGGCACAATGATGAAGAAGATCATTCTTCAGGCTAGATGGATTTCACTTTTCTAATAAATTGCCTGCTTTTGCATTACAACGATGATTGCATAGTATTCTATGTCCCCCACAGTTATGTCTGCAAGTCTCTGTCTGTATGCATAGTTCTTACAGGACTGTGTCATGTTTCTCCATAGCACCTGTGAGGTGTGAACTGAACACCTAAACATTCAAGAGAATTAGCCAAATACATGAGATGTGATGTCAAGGTCTAGAACAACAAATGAATTTCCATATGGTAAGTTTATGGGCCTAGTCACTGAAAAATTAAGTACATGGTTTGGGAATTGTTGTTATTGAGTAAGAGATTCATTTAAGTATTTATATAATTTGACAGTTAAATCAATTACTAATGTTGTGCAATTTTACAGTCGTAAATGTAATGTTAACTTGGTCACAGTTTAAAGCAGTTCTTAAAAAGTTTGTGTTGCAGCTGATACAATCTGAAGAGGGCCATGTCAATTTTCACTGTAGTGTATGACTGCAAAGCTTAAAAAGTTGATTTGCTGTCCCAGCTGTTTTCAACATAGCTGGTTTTGGCCGATGTTAGATCTCTTTTCCAGCCTGGCGCATTTCTGAGGTTATAAATTTATGTTCAAACAACACCTAACATTAGCTCTTGCTGTTTGAGTAGATCCGTTCTTCTGTTTCCAGTTCACACCCCCACCCCCCTTTCAAGGATGAAATAAATAAATGCTACAATTTTTCAGAGGATGTTTTAGCCCTGGAAATACTTAAGTCTTCTGTTTGGTCTCCCACATTTGCCATTAACTCCCTGAGGAACAGAAATGGATTTTCCCTCATAACACAGCAGAGCACTTTTACTAACAGCAGAGGTCTCACTGTCTGACTTGGAAATGTGTGAGGGGAGAAGAGAAACAACTCATGCAAATAAGCTCAGCAATATCTGCAGGCCTCAGCTCAGAACCATCTCTAGTGACACACTTGTAGCACATCACCATAGTAAATGACTCACAAAAGAAACCCTGCTTTGTACTGCACATTTGCCCAAAACTAGATATAAGAGAACTTGTTCAAGTTATTTCTGCAAGTATCCCTTTCTGTCCACTCCTTTTAGTTTGTTTTTCAAATTATCTTCTCAGTGCCATGGTTTGAGGAGTTTGACCTACTTGCCTCTAGGTAACAGTGTTCAAGTCTGAATTTTTCACTAGCAAGGTGGTCAGCTTCCACCTTGGGCAGTGGAGCTTGTTATTCTTTTTTGTACACACTTCACACACAGAGAATGCCTACAGAGATATCCAACAGCCTTTTCATGTGTATGAAGGTAAAGTAATGCTCAAATTTGAAGCTAGGGAAAGCTTTCTCCCAACAAGAAGAGAACACCCCCATAATAAAATTATCAAAGCTGTACTCCAAAGTTTCATAACAGATTTTAAATCTGGCCCAAGTATTTCCTCACACATTCCTGTACCTTCTACAAAAGTTTTGAAAATACAAAATTTCAGCTGTAAAGAGTCTGAAAGAATCAGTTTATAGGAGATTATGTAAAAAATCTGATTGCAATGCCTACAGCTGTTGAAATTCTAAACAAATAAACCTAGTGCTTACATGGGTTTACTATTCACTGCAGAAAGACTATATTTAAAACATGGTTAACCATCTCTTATGAACTTAATTTTTGGTTCAGATATGGGGCAATTTTATCCATCTGAATTCACTCTTTGAAAAGTCTTCATATACGGAAAAATTACTAATTTATAATGACTTATGCAGTTGCACAAGAGAAATTCTGTATAGATCAAACATATAATAT